AAGGCTTCAGGTGAGCCCTGCTTACAAGCTGTTGGCAGGAGGAAGCTGGAGGTGGGCTAGAGGCAGGGCCGCCTATGTGATTGGTTAGGGTGCATATTTGGCTTTCTGTGATGGGTCCTAATTAGGACTCAGGAACAAAAATAGGGAAACTATCAGTTATTAACGAAGTTCTGGCCATTTGGGGCCCATTGGTACATGGGTTGTTTAGCTTCCTAGATTGTCACTAGAGATAGCAGTTTTGGCCTCCCGAATGTCTGATAGCAGGCTGGTTTCGTGCATTGTTCATTATACTACTGTAATTATCTATAATAATTGTAGATAAGGGAGTGGGTTTCCTGGGCAGGTTCCCTGCTGCAGGTTGTGGGGCAGTGTTCTGTTTTTATACAGAGTCCAGCCGTCTCTCTGTGGTTCTGTTGTACATTCAGTCTTTTATACATTAGAATATAAACACTAAGAATACTGTTTTATTTGCTATCGTATCCCCAGAGCCTAGAATAGTGCCAGTTACCTAGCAGGTATTCAGAAACTATCTGTTGTTGATTATGATCATGTTTATCTAGCTCTAGTTAGAAAAGTTGTGATTTTGCTACATGATGTGGAAAATAGGCCAACCACAAGCCTGCTTCATTCAATCCAGTTGTACAAATGTTTGTTGAGTGCTTGCTACATATCCAGGAGGCTCTGTGTTAGGCCACTCCAGGTTACACAAGACAAGTATTAGCTGAAAATGGATTGACGACCAGGATTCTAAATACTTTCGCCTTTCCTCTAAATTTCCCTTCAAGTTTAAATTCAACTTCACCTATAATACCACTGCAGGTTCCAGGCCCATTATTCTTTCAGAGGCTGTGCGGGCCCACGTCTAGTTTCTCCAGCACTCACTGCATGTGGAGCTCATTTAGCTCCTCTCAGAAAGGGCCTGTGTGGCAGCCGGTTGTCTTTTGAATGAGCTGATTATCTTCTCAGTTGGGTTATTCCCTGAGAGCCAGAGCCACACCTTGCCCCTAGTACAGGTGACACATAGGAGGGTCCCGGGGTGATGGGAATCTCCTCCACTCCCCATTTTTGACCTTTGCCCTGAACTCCAAATCAAATATCTCACTGATGGTTTGTACCCATGGGGACAGTGGGATACACCATTTTAAGTGAAATCCATCTCACTTTCATCTTCTGCACACAGAGGTCACACTGGCTCAGAGCTGCCATCTGGAGGTGCATTAACTGTCCTGATAGCCCAAGACTGGGAGCCCTACTTGGACGTCTCAACTATTTTCTGACAAGGGCTTTCTGCTTTTTTTAATTATTATTATTTTAAGGTTCTGAATTATCTCTTCCTCTGGGGAAAGATTCCAGGGATTTTATTCCAGGCTAATTTATCTTTCAAGTAGAACACTCAAGGATCCAAGCAGCAAATAGGCCAGGATGCAGCTGGAACTAGAATTCTGTGGAATAGCTTATCAGCAGGCCACATTCAGCTGTAGAAACAGAATGGAGGCTGCTGAAGGGCAGGGATGGAGGCTGTTGTGTTTCCTAATGAGTCAACGCTTGGCACATGGTAGTTGCTCCATAGTTATTTACTGAATGAATAGGAAGGAGAAACACACTCTAAGTTTGAAATGAGAAATCCCAAGTTTAAATAGCAATAATTTTCTTCAATGTTCCCTCATTTTGTAGCTTAATTTTCACAGCCGTTACAAAACACATTAAGTAAAAAGGCAAACAGTGAGAACCCCAGGTGTGAAAGGGGGCTCTGGGGAGCAGAAGTGTCACTTCCCAGTTTTTTCTTGTGGGCCACCCGTGCTTGCCGCACAGGCTGAGATGCAGACCCTGCTTTCTACTGAGCACAACAAAAAGCTCCAATGTCACAATCTACTGTGCAGTTTCAAAGTCTTCAACAATTATGATTGCTACGTGATCTAATTCCTGAATGTATTTGCCCCAGTTTTATAATGAATCAGAATGAGAAAAGTAAACATTGGCTATAATCAACTCATACCTGTTTAAGGCCTTGGGAGGGAGATGGGAGAAAACTTTCACCAGATCCACGATGGTTACTGTCTTCATTTTATTCAGATAATTTTTTTTCCCCAAAACCTGGTCAACATTGGGAAATTAGCTGGCTGCAACCAGTCAGACTGATTGCCAGTCAAGCCTTCGTTGCAACGTTGTAACTTCACGTTAGCCTCTGATTGGTTGCTTTTTGCAACCAATCAGATGTTTGCACAGGTGTGTGACCTTTGTAACTCCACTTCAGTCTCTGATTGGTTGCAGAAAGCAACCAATTGTGGGCCGCCACTTCATTTCCATGAGGTGAGCATGAAGTGGCCAACAGGAGACCTCTAAGGGGTATATGGACTGAGAAGACTCTGCATCTGGGCCCTTGAGTCACTGCTCAGGCCTGTTCCCACACTGTGGAGTGTACTTTGGTTTTCAATAAATCCCTGCTTTTATTCTTTCATTGCTTCATTCTTTCTTTGCTTTGCTGGGCGTTTTGTTCCATTCTTTGTTCAAAACACCAAGAACCTGGACAACTTGCAGTCAAGACCCTCCACTGATGACACTTTGACTTCTGGATTTCGCCGAACCAAATAGCCAGATATACAAAAGAAAAGGGGCGGCAGGTGTTTTCTCCTCCCGGTGCACTCTTGCCCCTATTTCTTAAGTTTCTCCGGGCCTGCCTTGAAACTAGGAAGACTCTCAGTTCTCCCTGCCCATCACCAGAGAAGACACTGAGCTCTTCAGAGAGGCCCCAGGCTTCAGGAAGTCCCTCTTGGTGCCTGACTTAAATCTCTTCTCTGGCCGTTGAGCACAATTCCCTCTTGCCCTGTCATCACTGGAGAAGAACAGCTGCTTACCACTCCCCTTTTTAGTCTTTTTTTTTTTTTTTTGAGACAGAGTTTTGCCCTTGTCGCCGAAGCTAAAGTGCAATGGCACAATCTCGGCTCACTGCAACCTGTGCCTCCTGGGTTCAAGCGATTCTCCTGCCTCAGCCTCCTGAGTAGCTGGGATTACAGGTGCCTGCTAACACGCCCAGCTAATTTTTGTATTTTTAGTAGAGACAGGGTTTCACCATGTTGCTCAGGCTGGTCTCAAACTCCTGATCTCAGGTGATCCACCTGCCTCAGCCTCCCAGAGTGCTGAGATTACAGGCATGAGCCACCGCGCCCAGCCCTTTTAATCATTCTTAATGGGCTTATAAGCGGTTATTAAGTCCCCCTTCAGCCTTCTCAGAGCCTCATTTTACTTGCATTGAAGCTGAGAGCTTCCGAGGAAAGCATTTGACTCCGGGCCCCACAGATTTGCAATGTCTTAAATGGGCAATCAGCCACTTCACTCACTTTAACCTGCATAAATGAACAGTTCTGCCTTCTTTTGCAAAGTATAAAGTCATTCAAAGGAATTCCCTGGCAACTAACCCTTATTAATAAATCACGCCCAATCTAGGCCAGGACAGGGCATTCCGCAAATGCTTCTTTTGCTTAAGAAGTGACACTGGCACTAGGTACACGGTAAACAAGCTGCTGCTCTCTCTGAAGCTTTGCATTTGCTGCATGGATCCAGTCAGTCTCCCACAGGACCTTGTGGGCCTGGTGGGCTCTCACCTGACTCCCCAGTTGGGAAGGGAGTGATTCCCCAATGAACTCTCACCTGGACCTTTCTTAGGGTTACTGGACTAGGGTCACAGCAGCTGGGCAGCAGGGCATAGAGCTCGAGTGAGACTTGCTCAGGCTCTGCTAGGCACACATTGGAAAGTTTCATTTTCTATTCCATCATAATACCATTTATTTCCAGTTCATTGCTCATGCTTATAGGTGAAAGTCTGAGTTGTATGTCTAGACAGGGCTTCCAGTATGTCCTCACTCAGAATCCCACAGTTCCTTCCAATCATAGGAAGTGGGAAGGAGCAAGGCAGGTAGGTTGTAAGGCTGATGGTGTTTCAGCTTTGAGGAAAAAGTGATTTCACTTCAATAGTAATTTTAACCAGAATGGCTAAAATTAAACGGACTGACAATCCCAAATGTTGGCAAGGATACAGAGCAATTGCAACTCTTAGTGTTTGCTGCTGGAGTGTGAATCAGAGCCACCACTTTGGAACTCTTTGGCAGCATCCAGCAATTGCTCCAGCAATCCCACTCTTAGGTATATGAGCAAAAGAAGTGAGTGTCTATGTTCACCAAAATACACGTGCAAGAAAGTTCATAGTGTTGTAATTCACTTTTTTTTTTTTTTGAGACGGAGTCTTGCTCTGTCACCCAGGCTGGAATGCAGTGGCACAATCTCTACTCACTGAAGCCTCTCAGGTTCAAGCAATTCTCCCTGCCTCAGCCTCCCAAGTAGCTGGGATTACATGCTTCCACCACTACACCAAGCTAATTTTTGTATTTTTTAGTAGAGATGAGGTTTTGCATCTAGGCCAGTCTGGTCTTGAATTCCTGACCTTAGGTGATCTGCCCACCTTGGCAAAGTGCTGGGATTACAGGTGTGAGCCACCATGCCCCACCTGTAGTTCACTTTTAAGTACATTTTTTAAAAGTAAAAAATTTGAAGCAGCTGCCACCCTAGTGTAGAATGGATAAACAAGTTGTGATATAATCATAGAATGAAATCAGACACAACAATGAAGAGAACTGAAGTACTGCTAGACAGGACAACATGGATGAATCTTACATACAGGATGCTGATCTGGACACACAAGAGCACATTCTGTGTGATTCCACTTATATGAAATTCAAAAAAGGCAAAACTAATCTCTGATGATAAAGATCAGAATAGTGGCTGCCTCTGGGAGGAGTGTTGAACAGATCTAATGTGTTCAGTCATCTAGTTGAACACATTAAATCTGTGTACTTTGACTATAAGTTACACAGTACCACAAGAGAAAACAAAAGAACGTGCCTACTGCGTTTTCTTCTTCCCAGATGACCAACTCTTAACGTATTAATCTGTTTTTTCACTGTTCTGCTTCTTTTGAAGAAGATTTGAGGTGACTTACAAAGGTGTATAGTATATTTATAAGTGAAGAAATCTGGGTGATGTTAAAACCAGGGCAGGAAAATAAGGTGGAAACCAGATGTAAGGATAGTCTTCACTATTTGTGTCAGGAAGTCCTGTGAACTGAACAGAATAGAGCTTCCTAGCAGTCAATGCAAAGAAGAAACACAATTCCACACCCCAAAGTTAACAGTCCTGCTGATCAGAAGCACAGGTAGTTCTGAGATCTGATAGAAAATGTTCCTGTATCATTTCAGAACAGGAAACTATGTGATCAAATCCCTTTCTGTTTGTTTAAAAATTTGTCAGATATCTCATGTTTGACCCTGGATGTCTGAATCCCCTCAGCCCACATTGTCCCACCTATGCCATGCCCACACTGTCCCCATAGAATTTAGGGTGAGGCAGCATCCCAGTGATTAACAGGCCCCTGTTTACTTTCCTGGGTGTGGTTTGGGGGAAGCCCTGTTAATGAAGGCTGGATTTCTGTTCTTTGGGGTGCCCGGCTTGCCATCCTCATTTCTGGAACCCAGACCAGCATCCTCAGCCCACGCTTTGCCACTCAGCTCATCTTTTCCCCGGTTGGTGCTTCTCAGTGGCCCCATCCCTTCCCCAGCAGCGACTCTGCATGGGGCCACTCCCTGGGAGCTGAGCTCTTTCCATTTTGGCATTTGGGTTAGTGGATCTTTCCACTTTCTGGATCCAGTTTTTGAGTTGAATGCATACATTTCCCCGGTCACTAATGAAGAAAAAAACACAACAATCACATAAACCAGAAAATTCCAATGACTGTCTCTTCCCCCACTTCTGCCCCGCTCTGTTCTGACTCCCAAGGGAAGATGAAGCACACTAGAAGAGGTGAATCACTGACACCGACAGCAGACATGTGAATGGCACTGCAGTCTCCAACAGCCTGCCCTTGTCACAAGCCATGCTGCTTGGACCACACAGGTAGCAAATAGCAAACCTCTCTGGATAGAAAGGCTTAGGAGCATCTCAAGGACATCTCAATTGCAGGATGAGAAGGCCATGTAAATCTTGAACTCCATGCAAGCTTTGGATAAATTAGGTTCAGTTTCTAATGGGATTACCCATTACTTTCTGATTCATTTTGTTTGTTTTAAAAGACCCCTGAATTCCTGCTATAAAAAGGAATTCACCAAGTGAGAAGGAAAAGGCTGATTTTTATTTATGTTAGGTTAGCAGCAATTTGTAGACACAGACATACAAATCTGGTCCCACTTGAGATGATGCAAGGAAGCCATTTTTATTGTGTCCAAGCCAGCAGACGCTAATTGATTTAGGCCAGTTGGCTCATGTCTTTCTTTTTTTTCTTTTCTCTCAACTACACAAAAACACAAAAATCCTCCTCTGCCTTTTGCTCTGGAAGATCAGGTTTAAGGCAAGCCCTTGCTTCTTGTCATTTCCATACAGCATGAGTGGCCTCTCAGCTCAGGATCCCACCAGCACTTATGCTAATGTGGGCACATTATGGTAACAAGCACCTAATAATAGAGGGAAATTTAATTCCAGCAGCAGCAGCAGTAGCGGCAGCAGCCTCTCACTGGAGAGGAGCCATCCTCCTTAGGAGGAGGACCGGTGCCGTTTGCATATGAGGGTGGCAGGAAGCCAACACACTTGCCTCCTGAATTTGGTTTCCTTCCCTTTATTCACGTCTATAATTGAGCCTTTGTAAGTGGAGGGATGAGTGTAAAGGAGCTAAATTTGGAGCTGATTTCACGGGGGTGATGAGAGCTCTGGAGGCCAGCTCTACCTTATGTTCATCTTGCCGACCAGGAAGAAATTCTTGGCCCTGATCTGGGGAAAAAAAGAAACTACACTTGCCATTTCTCTGTATCTTCCACTACTAATAAAATGCTATTAGAAGCATCCAGGAAGAATGTGGATGGGGGCGGGGGGCGCAATGAGTACCAAAAAGCAGGAAAAAAACGTGAATTCCTGGATTCACCAGTTGCCTCAGCTGGTTCGTAATTTAGGAAGGGAGGCAAGAAAGAGGCATGGCCCTTGAACGTGAGCCTTTAGGTGGAGACCCACTGAGGCCTCACAAGTGTGATCCTGTAATTGAGCATCTGCAAGCCAGCTGGGTTCACAGCTGATCTCACGTTGTATTAGCCTGGAAGAGTCAGCACTGTATAGGCGACATAGCCAAACGGATTGACAAAATGAGTTAAAAGCAGGAAATTGGATAAGGTCCTCCATGCTTCTACCAGTCTGGAATATGAAAAGCATTCTTACAGTGGTATTGCCACTTAATTACCTGGATTTATGACTTCTCCATCAAAGACTGTTCATCTGGATAGTTTCCTAAGGAGAAGACAGAGACGGCATCAAACACAACCCTACATTCCTCCCCCCAGGCAAAGCCATGCATCCTCACGACCCAAGCTCCTTACCCAAAGCCTTCTTGACTTCTAAGTCTTTAATAGGCACTGTACTAGATGCAGGGGACACAGCAGTGAACAAGGCAGCATGGCTACTGCCTGTACAAAGCTTGCCAGTTACAAACAGGTGCTGCAACGCAGAGTGATAAGGCTATGATGGGGAGATGTAGGCTGTCATGGGGCACAGGTAGGGGTAGAGGAGACATTTAAACCACACTGGGGGTTAAGGAAGCACCCTGAGTAAATAAAATCTAAGCGTAGAAGGAAGAGTGGAAATGCCACACAGCATGGCTAAGACCTACGTTTTGTCAGTGGATCGCTGTCAGGCATTGTCAAGGTGGACACAGGTGAGCTCCTAGGTGTCCGTACCTCTGGCCCTGGCACTCCGGCCCTCCCCTGCAGCCTCCCATTGCCTAGGCCAATGCAATGTCGCATCTGGGCCTCACCTAAGTCCTGTGCTCCAGGTCTCTTCTCTTCCCTGATATGTCCTCGGTGCCACCCTCCAGGACCTGACTTCTGCCTAATGCACCTGTCCCTCGTCCCCATAGAAACACCCCTTCCCTCACATGCTGCCCTCTAGAGGTGCGAAAGTCAGGGTCGCTAGCACAGTAGCAGGGATTGTGTTTGGAGTTTGGCAAGCTTTCCAATCCCCAGGTTTTATCACTTAAAGGATCCCCTACCTAGTTCCCCACAACTCCCCAACTCTGAAGAGAGAGGAAATGGGGATTACACAGGCTTCATCAATTTGACCAGCTAAGCAGCCCCACTTTTTGTGGTCACGGGTATTTATTTAATAGACTAATTTAATATTACATAGTTCTAGAGCAATCTCTAAGTGGCATCCCCAAGGGTACTCGCCTTAGACAATAAGACCCAGGAGACCAGAGACTGCCTCTTCTTCCTGTTTGTACACTGGCCAGAACATAGAAGACTTAGGGGTTAGATGTGCCTGAAGCCAAAATTCCAGCGCCCTGCATTGACTTCCTCATGGGAGGAGCCATTGAATTATCATGCAACAAATTCATGAAGCTTGGACCATGACAAAGCCTTACTCATGAGGGTAGGGAAAAGCTGGAGGGAGCCACCTTCAAGTTCTTTCACTTCACTTCCCAGGGGGTAGATAAGGTTATGTCAGAGAGAGAGAGAGAGAGAGAGAGAGAGAGAGAGAGAGAGAGAGAGAGAGAGAGGTGGAGGAGAGGGAACTTTCCAGCTATCCTGTAACACTTTGCATTTGTGTGACACTTAACAATTTTCAAACTATTCCTCCATCTGTTATCTCAGGGCAGATGTCCTCACCCCCCATTTTACAGGCGAGGAACCTAAAGCTCAGCAAGGCCAGGGAAGTCCCCAAGGTGATAAGGCTAAGTGCGCAGAGCCAACCCCAGACCAGGCAGGGCCCTTTCTCTGTCACTTTTCTGCATGATACTGGAAGAGCAAAGGAAATTTAAATCAGCTGGGCGCAGTGGCTCATGTCTATAATCCCAGTGCTTTGGGAGGCTGCAGTGGGTGGATCACTTGAGGTCAGGAGTTCAAGACCAGCCTGGCCAATATGGTGAAACCCCATCTCTACTAATAATACAAAAAATTATCGAGGTGTGGTAGCACATGTCTGTAATCCCAGCTACTTGGGAGGCTGAGGCATGAGAATCGCTTGAGTCCAGGAGGCAGTGGTTGCAGTGAGCCGAGATTATGCTATTCCACTCCAGCCTGAGCAACAGAGTGAAACCATGTCTCAAAAAAAAAAAAAGAAAGAAAGAAAGAAAGAAAATTTAAATATCATTGGAGGCTGAAGCAGTAGTTTTAGTCTTTAAGCTTCACTCCCCCAACTCACTCTCGTGGAGAGCTGGTATAGATAATAAACACCACTACTCAATATTTATGAAATCCAGTTCTTCTGCAAATATATCAGCAGGCATGTTCAGTGGAGGGAACAGTCTATCAGGAGCTCATCACACAGCAATCTGTTCCAGTAGCCAAATGCAAGCACCTCTCTGAATGATAAGCATGCCCACAAGGCTGTGTCAGGTCTGCCTTTGGGGGAGATGGGGCCCCTATCCCCCAGTGTCTACGCCCGGTGCCCCACACTGCCCATACTCACCACCACAACGTCTCTCTTTGCAGTCTTCGTTTCTGCAGAGAACAGAACAGGCAGAAGTTAAGCTTCTTGGGCATTAGATTGACCTTAAAATTCCACCCCCACAATGGTATTCCCCTAAATAGGCTTCGATCTCAGTCTTGCAGACACAGCAAAGAATTGTTCTGTCTGTAGATGTGTTTGTTGACAGCTTTCCATCTTCTCAGAAAAAAATGCATACACATACGTATATACACACAACAGTAGGTTTTTTTACTCTTTTTCTAGCTTGTTATCAGTGGACCTAGAAAACTGGCTTTTAAATGGCTTTTAAGATAAGAAAGAAAGATTGGATTGGATACCTCTTTTCATAAGGTGGGAGTTTTATGCATTCATTCCCCAAGCCCTTTTATTTTATTTCATTGTTTTATTTTATTTTGAGGCAGGATCTCACTCTTGTCGCCCAGGCTGGAGCGCGGTGGCACAAACACAACTCGTTGCAGCCTTGACCTCCCGAGCTCAAGCCATCCTCTCAGCTGCCTCCCCAGTAGCTAAGACTGCAGGCGTACACTACCACACCCAGCTAATTTTTTAATTTTTTTTTTACGGACAGGGTTTCACTATGTTGCCCAGGCTGGTCTCGAACTTCTGGGCTCAAGTGATCCTCCAGCCTCGGCCTCCCAGAGTGCTGGGATTATAAGTGTGAGCCACCATGCCCAGCCCCCAGCCCCTTTTTAAAAAGTGGGATTAGAGACAGTTTGTGAAAATCTCATTTATTAAAATCATCACCCTCAATATGATCAATAACCACTATAATCAAATTTCTAACCCTATTGAGACAAGCCTTAAGCATGTCAGACACATGCCTGTGAATGAAGTGATTAAAGCAAGCATTTTTTTTTTTTTTAATTAAAACACTGTCCAATTCTTTGTCCTGTCTCCCCAACACTCTGGAGTCTACTTGAGGCCGGGCCAGGACACCTCCTCAGACCTGGAGCTGCTCAGATGGACCTTCCCCGCCCCCCCACCAATGTACCCACTTCCCTGAAGTCATTCAGCTTTCTTGGCCCATCTCACCACCCCCATCTCCCCTTTCTCACTAGTCTAATCTAAATAATTTGTGGAAATGATCAAATCCATTAGAATCTGGGTATCAAGTATTATCTGTTCTTTTTTGTTTTGTTTTGTTTTGTTTGAGACAGAGTCTTGCTATGTCACCCAGTCTGGAGGGCGGTGGTGCAATCTCGGCTCACTGCAACCTCTGCCTGCCAGGTTCAAGCAATTCTCTTGCCTCAGCCTCCCAAGTAGGTGGGACTACAGGTGTGTGCCACCATGCCCGGCTAATTTTTTGTATTTTTAGTAGAGACAGGGTTTCACCATGCTGGCCAGGCTGGTCTCAAACTCCTGACCTTGTGATCTACCCGCCTCAGCCTCTCAAAGTGCTGGGATTACAGGTGTGAGCCACCACACCCGGCCTTATTTGTTCTTTCAAAAGAGGCCTGTGTCCAGCACAAAGCATTAGCTGTCCTCAGGACACCCTCCGTGGGCAGCAGTAAGCAGGTCTTGTCTACGTTTAACACGTGGAGAGTTCTTTCCTCCTGTGCCATGCAGCAAGGGACAGACCTAGGTGTTCAACTGAGCTGATTGGAGAGGGCGCTAGGTAGGGCACAGACAGGACCAAATTGAGAGATCCAGGTGGGCCAAGATACTGTGCCCCTGCCCTTCCCATTCTCCAGCTGCAACCAACCTCCACTTCCTTCCATCCGCGGAAGATGCAGCTGAAAATGCTCCAAGACGTGATCGCAGCCTGATTCTCTGCCGAGTAGGAACCTTTTTATGTAGCACAACAGAGCAAGCAAAAAACAACAGACGAGGGAAACAGGTACGAACCTATTTCCTTTCTTTGTCCTATGCAGGGGAAAAAAGAGGGGATATTAATTCACTTGAAAGTATGCTGCACTGGCACGTACATGACACCATGGGGTTCTTTGGGCAACTATGCCCTTTGAGATACAGGGGTTGACTGAAAGAGGTGCCAGGGATAGGGACAAGAAAGACTAGACCACCACACCTGCTTCAAACAAAGCAGCTTCATCACTATTGGCTTTGGACTAGGGACGTTCTGAGAATTTGATGAGTTAAAAAGTATCCCCTTATAAACTTCAGGGAATACATTGTCTCTGATGAGAACACCTGGTGAGGACATGCCTGCCCTAGTCAGACTGCCCAGCAAGTCTTCCTGCCCCATCCCTTTCTCCCCAAGAGCCAGCAGAGCAGAAGGCTTGGCTCACAGCAGGGAGACGAGACTTGAGAGCTGGCAGCTACATTTTGGTTTCCTGTCACATGAAGAGCTGGACTTGGACCCCACGACCTTTCCCATGATCACCTTGGATTCTATAACTCTGTAACTCTAATTTTCTTCTTTGCTCTTTGACAAAGGTTGGCTGTCATATGGTATAACTAATTTCCCGAGTGGTTGAGTCTGAGTCTGGTTTTCTAGCTAGTTTTGCTTTTTTAAGTCAACCATGTTGAAAACAATGAATATTTACAACCTAAGTTAAAAGAACCAGGTTCAAGGTACATATTTAACATTTAGCCATAAATTACATGAGAGTTACAGTGTCTATTGGATTTGTTTCTTCAAGAACTTCTATCCAAATCGCATTACAGTACACCACCATCCTTACAAGCAATTACTCTTTTAGAGCTGTTTTTATTAAAAAATCAATTTGTGAATAGAGTTCAAACAAAAATGCCTTTTTTAATTTCAGCAGATGCTCGAGGATTTCTTACCTTGAAGTCAAGGTTGCCCATAGCAACAAACTTTCGCAATAAATATGGCAAAATGCAATGCACATCTTTATTCTAATGCCTTGTACTTTTATACAGAGTCTTTCATCCATACATTTTGTTATTTGACAGTTAATAGTTAATGTTTAAAATGCCCTTAAAAGGCACACATGTCTCATCACCCCCTCTTTTTGCCATTGAGAGATCCTAGAACTCAGAGGTTCCAATACCTCAAGATACTTGGGCATAGAGCTAAACTTGGAATCTAGAATCCTGAACTCACTGGGACTCATCTGTGAAGAATAAGGAAACAAGATTTGTAAAAAATGTCTGGGTAGTGTACTAAGCATTTACTCTGTATCAGGAATACAGTTAAGTGCCTTGTTTGCATTTGCTCATTTAGTTTGATTAATTTTACAAACAAGAAAATTCAAGCTCACAGAGGTGGTGACTTGCCCAAAGCCATATTCCAAGAAAACAGTAGAGCTAAGACTCAAGCCCAGGCCCATCGAACTCCAAAACTCAGGCTCAGAACCATCTAAGCTGTAAGTTGTTAAGAGCTACCGAGAATTAAGAAGCCTGGCTCTGGGAGAAGTTTGTGATTCTTTGGTGCTCTCTTCATGTCACTCTACTACCTCTCTTTTAGCCAGTAAAAGACACGTCACAGATTGGCACAATAAGAGGCATATTAGTGGGCAGGTGAAAATCGGAAAGAGAGAAAACAGGCCTGCATTTATAACCCTTAAGAGTGAGAGACTGAGACCACATGCAAAACACTAATAATTATTTGGTCACACAAAAACCCAGCTGAGTCACTGGAGACACAAGCTTATTTCCCTTATTGGTTTTGTGTGCTTGCCTTAATTCCATACTATCCTTTAAATATTCTACAAATAAGAGCACGGCATATTCTATCACTATTCACAATAGGGCTTTTCTGAGGGTTTTATCCAGGGCAAGGTCATCAGAAGGTTGATGCCCCAGTCTCATTGAGAGCCTCAAGGACAGAGTAGGTTGCCAGGGAAAGCCAAAAGGATGGTTTCCTGGCCTAGCAGGTGAAAAAAAAGTGCACCAGGACTGAGGGGAGCTGGGATTCCTTCCCCCATATCTCCTTTTCCTGCCTTCATTCCAGGCAACCTGCCTTGTAGAGAAATCCTGATTCTCTATTTTTCCTTCTCCTAATATCACCAGAAAGTGTCCTAAAGGAGGAGGGGAAGAGGGCCTAGCCCACTGGCAACTTACAGATGTTCCTTGTTCTTCCCAGTCTTGCAGGGGCAGTGTCTGTGGATGCCTTTGGCCAATAGGACGACCAGGAACACCAGGAGACCCAGAAGCAATATGGAGCCCAAAGTGATGACAAAAGGAACGTACCACGCAGATGGAGAGTAAACGTTTTTCCTCAGGACCTGGTAGGTGACCCTGGGCTTGAACAACAGAGAGCAGGGAGGGTGAGTGGAGGGTGGTAGTGATTTTGACATTTAGCACTCTTTCGTGTTGAGTATATATTCCACTCTTTGTTATTGCTCTATAAATTGGACATCTGTGTGCTCACAGTTCTTACTGCTTCAAACCATCACCTTATTTATAGTCTTTGCAGACATCCATTAGATCAAAACCCAGAAATTTTAGGGAACTGAAAACTGTAGGCCTAATTTTATTCTCTGTCTTCCTCTTCCCCAAAGCTAAAAAAAGTCCATTGGCTTTTTTTCTACCATATCTGGGCATAACCCAGGGACGAATATAGCCATTGTCTCTCACCAAGACGGCATAAGCCACGAAAGTTGTTTTTTTAAACACCTTGTAGACTTTTCAGTGTTTTCTCAACTACAAGCTGCCACTGCCAGAGGAGTGGGCTGATATCACAGCAAAGCCTCAAGTTCAGCATCTGCTTCCTAGAGCTGGAGACAGATAACAAACAAGTTACGGAGGTTTCAGGATTGGAGATGTCACAATTAGGTCATGCTCTGAGCCCAAGAAAGGTGGGAACTCCTCACTCAGGGGAGCCTACCAGCTCCTCCCACAAGGAAAGTCCTTAGGGTTGCCATATACCTCCATTCACTGGGGTCATATTGACTTGAGCACAGGAGAGAGAAGCATGAACCAGCTCCTGGGAAGACTCTGAGAAGAAGCTGGCTGCCTCCATAGGGCGTTCTCTAAGGTTCTGATTATCTTCCTTCTGGCATGCTGCAGGTATGAGGCTGCTGACCAAGGGTGCAGCTTCTACTAGGAGGAGGAGGAGGAGGAAGAAGAAGAAGAAAGGGGACAGATGAATTAGCATAGATGCAAACCAGTTCCTCTAAGGGACAGGGGAGATAATCCTGTTGTCAGATTCCAGGCTCTCCCTTCCTTCTCCAAGCCGATTCTGTGACAGCACCTGGTCATTTTCTTCCTACCCTTTCCCACAGTCTGTATTTACTTTGTCAGTTTGAATACTTGTTTGTAATCTATCTGCCCCTCTAGATCAGTGGCTCTCAGACTTTAATGCACATTAGAATTCCCTGAAAGGCTGATTAAAAACACTGCTCACTGGGCCCCACCTCCAGAGTTTCTGATCCATTAGGTTAGGGGATACAGTTGGGGATTCCAGCTTCCAGCATCCTTCCCTGGAGGTCATGGTGATGATCATGGTTGGGTGACCTATAACTTTAATAATCTAGGCTGGGCCCAAGAATTTGCATTTCCAAGCAGTTTCCAGGTGGTGCTGATTCTGATGGTCTAGGGACCACACTTTGAGAACCACTCACCCATACAATAAGCTTCCTGAGAGCAGGGATCATTTTTGGCTTGTTTGCTAAAGTGACTGGCACACTATAGGCATTAAATCGATATTTGTAGATTGGATGAATTTTTTGGAGTGGAGGTGGGGTGTAGGGTACAGATTGGTACATGGCGATTCTTCAAAAGATGTGGAAAAGGGCACCCAGCAGTAAGCAAGCAACCTGATTTCATGGATATTGATTTGCAAAGACTCTTCTGAACATGCCGAGAGGGGCTGTGAAGGTAGCATCTGGCAGCATGCCCATGAAAATCGGCTCCTGTGCCACAAGCCACACAGGTGGTTGAGGTCTGATCTCTCACAAGTCTCTGCACAAACAATACACTCTTCTCTACCAGAACAGGAAATATGAGTGGTTTTATGAGTCTGAGGTCTCACCAGATTTTTGCCACCCTGTAGCTACTCCAGTCCAGCCCATGGTTGCCATCTTTGGCAACATCCTAATACCGCAACTCTTCAGTCCACCCCACATATCTCCGGGCAGGGGAAAGAATTCCATCAACATAACTCACAAGGGAACATGCCTGGGGATTCCAGGTCCTAAAGTCCTTACCCTGGGGGTTGTGGTGATGACAGTGGTTGGGTGGGAAATGACTTTAATACTCAGTGTCACTGTTCCTGTCTCAACAAGAGCCTCAGCTTTCTTCCTGCCAGACAGCAAGTTGTCATCAGTTATGTAGACAGTTATGTAGCTTGTAGTCCCAGATCTTATCAAGCCCACCAGCATAGTCAAAGGGAGATGTAAGCAGCAGGCGTGTGACGTTGGAACCAGCATTGGGAGAGAAGGTGAAATGATTGTTGACGTTACCTAAATGAGATTTGATGCAGGGGTGTTGGTAAAAGGAAGAAAAGAGAGTAAGAAATAAAGGTTTAGAAGAAAACTGCACTCAATCTTTTTCTCAAATGTCCACACCTCAAGTATCTGTGACACACCAGAGCTGGATTAGTTATATGCTACAGGCTTTAACTGCACCAGAGATGTCATTAATACAAAGAAACTCTTGCTCACAACCAGCGTGGCTATAAACAAGGCTGAGTAGAAAAGGACAATAGGACAACACCCTTAGCCTAGGTGCCATCTTGCTGAGTATTAAGCAGAGACTTTGTAACCCTGGTGCAGCCCTTCTGATTTCTCACTCAGCAATTATTTGGTAACAACATTGTAATTCACACTCAGACAAATGAGTGGGCGTCAAGAGGATAGAATAGGTCACATCACTAGCCATAGGCCAAGTTCACTGCATGCTTTTCATGGGACCCAGTGGGTCACACTGGTTATGGATGTCCCTGGAGTCCCCCAAAGGAAGGTGCCTCCTGGCTTTGCAGGAATGGCAGTCCCAGGTCCTCCTGAACCCACCCCATCACAACCCCAAACACACACGCAGCTCTGCTGGGGCTCATGGCTCAGCTCAGGGAGCCTGGGGCAGAGAGGCTGCCAGCCCAAGCACACCCCTGCTCATTCCTCCACTGACTCCAGACTCATTACCAACTGAACACCAGTAAATGGAGCAGGAGATGATGCAATTTTTGCTCCCTTAACAGCAAAATGCTCCATAAAGGCCTTAGGGCTCTCAGTATGGATTATTTCCATCTTCGGCAACTGCAGTCTCGAGGCAGTTTCTGCCCCTGGGTTTTGTGACACAGCCAGCTCGAGAGGCTTCCTACTGTTCGAGTTCCTGCTCGGCCAAGGGCACAGCAGGCAGCAGGGATGGATTTTTACTCTCTCACGTGGAATTGTTCTGCTTGTTTGGGTTTAAATCTCTGGCCCCAGCACTTCATTAGATGAGCTATTTTGGTCTAATTTCCATTGAGGGGTGCTCTTTTTTCCCTAGAATGGTGTATTTTTAAAGAGAGAAGATGAATGGAGCAGAAGAGAATTCCTGAGGACACATTTCAAAATGCACTTAATCTATTTAATCTATTATTATCCAGAGAGAGGACTGGGATTCCCTGCCCCCACTACAAGCTTTCAGGAAAAGAGGTGGTTGAAAAGTTGGACTGCATTTTTTCTAATGACACTAATAGGCTTTATGACTCATACTGTAGTCAGGAATTAGGGGATAGGGTTCACCCTTTTCTTGGGCTTTTGAGCAGTCACATATGGGGTCTGGGAGGAGTAAGACGAGAAGGGGAAACCGAGAAGAGCATCAGGAAGCATAGGGGCTGCTAGATTCTGTATCTCTGCTTTTCTCATTCAAACACTTCCCCAGCAAGCTGGGTGCGGTGATGGATGCCTCTAGTCCCAGCTACTTGGGAGGCTGAACAGGAGGATTACTTGAGCCCAGGAGTTCAAGACTAGCCTGGGCAACATAGCAAGACCCTATCTCAAAAAAATAATGCCCTCCCAACTCCCATCCCACTTTGCCCAGATCAGTTTGTGAGCACAGACCCCTACCCTAGACAACTTCAGGGTCCTCAGAGACGGGGTCAGGGTTGTCGACACCAAGTACTATACCTGAGCCAGTGGAATAATGGAAAGATCTGGGGCTGCAATTAAGGTCAGTATACGTCAGCTTGAAATTCTGAATATTTGTGCCAACTTTCAGATCCACTTGGAGGGCCAGGAAATAAGAGTTTGGAGTACAAATGGGCTTTTCATCATTTTCTTCAAGGATGTTCACGGTAACCTAGAGTAGCAAGAAGGTGGTCATTCTCAGTAGCTAAAACTCGTTGAGTGCTTACTGTGTGTAGGCAGTTTTCAGGCTAAGCAATTTTCATAAATTAGCTCATTTAAACTCACATGAGATAGATAACATGATTATTCCCATTTTATGGATGAGAAAATGGAGGTTTAGAGATAGTAGGTAATCGATCTAAGATCATTCAGCTAGTGAATGGCAGAGCTGGGATTTGAATCCTGGTCTGTCCTCCTCCAAATCCTACGCTATTACTCTCTACCCCGTGTGCATGTGTGTGTACACATGTAGTGTATGCATACCTTGTCCCACCCACCCCCACACACACATGCACCTGAACACATAGGCTCACCAGCAGGTGACACTGAATTGTTTTTCCAGGAAGGTATGGATTTACGGTGACTCCACGTGCTGCCTTGCCTGCTGCCCCTTGTGGATTGGAAGTTCTTTAACTCTGGCATATACAGAAATGGTTTTCAACCCCGGCTCTGCTTTCTTGGGCCCACTTCAGACCCAATAGATTGGAGGGTAGGTGTCAGGGCCCTCACTGATGTTCCCTAGATGATTCTAATATGAGCCAGGACTAAGACCCACTGGGACAGAACAAGCAGGCCTGGTTAAGCTTGGATCTCATCTGTAACCTGGGCTATTAGCACTCTACTAAGCCCTAGGGCTAACCTGCCATAAACAGGGGCCAGCCTATTCTCTTTCATCGCTGTCTTCTATGCCTGCTGAATTGGAATATAACTTGGGATGCCTGCCAGCACAGAATCGTAGAATGTCAGCCCTGAAAGGGACTTGTGTGATCATTTAGTTCATCACCCTTTTTAAAAAGCTTATGAATTTTGAGTCATATTCATACTACCTTTGAAATTTGGGATTTCAGCTATTTCTGAGCCCGGGAATAAATTGAAATGTTCACTCTAGTTAGCTTCCAAAGTAGGGTCCATTCATTTTTCTTAAAAAAACCCAGCCTAACAAACACTGCAATTATCTCCAACTTTCCTTGGGTAGCAATGCCAAATCTTGCACATCATTAAAAACATCATCCCATTAATTTGAAGCAAGCTATCGGAGGAAGCGGACTGTTCAGGCACAGGGTTATCAGGTGACTCTCTATTTAAGAGAGAGAGAAATAGGGACACCGAGATAAGCATTGCTCAGACTCCCTCGGAAAACTGGGATCAAAGGTGAAAAATGAACTTGGTCTCCTGACTCTGAGCCAATCTTTGTCTATGGCTGCCTGCTGCTAACTGAGAGTTCATTTTGCCTCTATGCTTTTTTAGTTTACTAATGGGAAGGACCAGGGAATAGTTTGGTCTTTATGGCTATCATGTTGCCCCTGGATAATCCAAACCACTAACAACAGGGACCTATTAGGCCCTTGCCACTCGAGGTGTGGCAGGGGACCAGCAGTGCCACCCTACTTGGAACCATGTCAGAAATGCAGAATCTCTGGGTCCCAGACCCGCTGACTCAGAATCTGTATATAACAACATTCTCAGCCTCAAAAGTTGGGAAGCAAGATAGCAGCACAGCATCGTTTTAAGATCTACCCCATTTGGTGTGCGTAGAGGCAGGGTAGGAACATGACATAACTGCTCCTGGGGAGGAAATGCATAACTCCAAAACCACACTCAACTTCTGGACAGTGCGCATTTCACCAACAGCCTTCAGTGAAGGCGAAGCGAGATTTAAAGGGCCACAAGAGGAACCTTGTCCCACAAAGTGGCTTTGTGGGTCCACCAGACATTCTAATAGCTGGCCACCAATTTCAGTGCTTTTCTCAATCACCCACAAACTTGGGCCTCAAAAAAAGTTGGGGCTGGGTGCAGTGGCTCACGCCTATTATCCTAGCACTTTGAGAGGCTGAGGCGGGTGGATTACTTGAGTTCAGGAGTTCGAGACCAGCCTGGCCAACATGGCGAAACCTGTCTCTACTAAAAATACAAAACTTAGCCAGGCACAGTGCTGCACACTTGTAATCCCAGCTACTTGGGAGTCTGAGGCATGAGAATCACTTAAACCCAGGAGGTGGAAGTTGCAGTGAGCCAAGGTTACACCACTGTACTCTATCCTGGGCTACAAAGCGAGACCCTGTCTCAAACAAGAGAAAAAAAGAAAAGAAAAAGAAAAAAAGAAAAACGTGGATCTTTATTTCCCAGGGCACCTTTATTTGTTTCTCACCACACCTGCAGGATGTGCCCCTGGGAAGTCTCCTCATTGCCACGTCCACACTCTGCGGGTGCCAGAGAGACCCTGAGTCAACCAGTTGGGTTACCAGGACTATAGCAAGCAGCCCCACTCACAGTGACAGAGCTTGTGTCCTTGTTGTTGGTGGCCTGGATTCTGAGAATATAGATAGGGGTTGTTTCGTAGTCCACTTTAGTTACCAGCTGGAGTTCTCCCATCTTGGGATTAATCCAAAATACGTTCGGGTACCAGAGGCTGGCCCCTCCGGTGGAGATGGAGTACACGAGGCTGCACTGGGGGAGGTCTTTATCAGTGGTTTGCACCTGTCCCACTCAGGTTCTGGCTGGAGGAATAAAGTACCTGCAATAAGTCCTGCTTTTAAGAGGTAGGGAAGGATGATTCAGGAACCGATGTCCTCCCTGCCATGGGAAGAAGGACTTCTGGAGGTCTCCTTGCTGTCCAAACTCTATTTTATAGCTTCAATTCTACTAAATTGAAATAATGCTAACCAATACCCGCTAGGTAACTGGCCCTATGATCCAAGCAGTCTTGTGAGCTGTAATAGACAATTTATGCCTTTGTGTGTGTGTGTGTGTGTGTGTGTGTGTGTACGCGCGCACGCATGCGCGTGAGACAGAGTCTCACTCTGTCACCCAGGCTGGAGTGCAGGGGTACAATCTCGGCTTGCTGGAACCTCCACTTCCCAGGTTCAAGCAATTCTCCTGCCTCAGCCTCTCAAATAGCTGGGATTACAGATGCCCACGACCACACTCGGCTAATCTTTTTGTATTTTCAGTAGAGACGGGGTTTCACCACGTCAGCCAGGCTAGTTTCGAACTCCTGACCTCAAGTGATCCACCCGGCTTGGCCTCCCAAAGTGCTAGGATTACACTTGTGAGCTACCATGCCCAGCAATTTATGCCTTTATATAGACTCCAGGGACACCAATCATTTTGCTATCAGAAACAATAGTACAAAGAACATACATCCTCACACATACATCTCTTCGCAGCAGTGTTGTCTAAAAGTCCCGTGTTTTTCAATTTTCTATAATGAGCATGAATTGCTCTTATAAAAATAAACAATTTTTAAAGAATTTAGCAATTGATGATTACAGATTACAGATTTTTAAGTCCTCTTCCATTTTGCAATTTTTACAAATACTGTTGGTGGAACTGCTAGCATTCTGGCTTGCTTGTTTTATAGGAGTTCCTTCTCATAAATTACACTCCTCAAGGGCAGAAACCTTCTCTTGTTCAATTCTGTATCCCAGCACTAAGTGTGTGACCCAAAGTAGGTATCAAAAAGAACTGCAGTAAGATCTGTGAATTCCCAGAAAGTCTATTTCTTTCGAATTTGTTATTCACTGGATAAGGTATAAGAAATTAAAAGCGTTTTCTTTGGACCTTCATTTTGCCTTTTGCTTGAAAACTTAATGTCAGGAAATGGAGACCATCCTAAAGAGAACGGATCATTTTAGAGGGAGTGTTTTGGTTTTGATTTGATTTGTTGTTGTTGTTGTTTTTAATATGGAAAAAGGATCCATGATCTAAAGATGCAAGGCTGTGAGGAGTCTATTACACAGCACTTATAGTATTACCTTCAAACTGAGAGAGCGAGAGAGGCAGAAAGTGAAGCTGGAAGTGGGGAGTGAGTCTTTTCCTTAATGGGGGAAGAGCCTGCGAAAAGCACGGTGTTGTAAAGGGCAGAAAAATAGGCCTTCAGGGAATCCTAGTAGGGGAGACAGAAAATGCCTTTATTTTGTTTGTAAATGAAGGAAATATAGAAATGGGAAACCTTTTCTGTTTTTAAATTTTAATTCTCTGAGTGAGCAGGATAAAACTCACAGTGGAGACCAAGAGAAAACTTAAGCTAGGAAAAGGGAGGATTAGCGGAATCAGGCACAGACAAGGAAGCAATCAGAGGCTTCCAAGAAATGCAGTTTAATCAACAGTTTTCAAAAGTCCAAGTTTCACCTGAAGGGCTCCTCAGCAGCAAGGAAAATTTAAAAGAAATAAGAGGTGCACTAAATACTAATCAGCTGTGAATCACTGTGCACAACAGCATGCGAGGCCTCCAGAAGGGAGCTTTCCACTCCGCAGAACACACGTTTGGACGGAGTCCATTGAGAGCCCTCTGGTCTGTGTCTTGTCTGTTACTTACCCAGCCTTCTTTCTGACACATCAAATACGTAGGATGGCCTATCAAAAATGAGAGGGAACTCATTTTCTGGGCTTGTTAGGATATAAATGTAGATATTATCTAAAAATGGAAATAGAAACACATTCAATCACAAATCCATACTCATCCATTTGTTTATTCAACGTCTTTAAAGAATCTCCTGTGTACAGGCTTTGCACATAGGGGATACCAGGTGACTAAGACACGGGAGCTCCTGCCTTTTAGATGCTGAAGGTGGTCACCCTTTGATAAGCACATGAGCACACAGAGCACTACAGAACCCAGAGGAGGAACAGCTTCCAGGAGAAAGAACAAGCTGAGCCTTATAAGGACAGAATTAGACAAATGGGGCAGGGACGATATTGGGGGGTGTAGCAGGCATATGCAAAAATGCCAAGGTATAAAACCACATAATTCACTCTGGAAAACTTCAAGCTGCTTGCCCAGTTGGAAAAAAATGGGGACTTGGAAGCAAGTGACAGGAGGTGAAGCCGGAGAATTAAGCAGCAACCAAATGATGAAAATTCTTGTATGCCAAGCCAAAGAGTTGGAACTTGAACTTGACAGCTACAGGAGATGCTCGAAGGCTTTAACCAAGGAAGTCATATGATGGCATTTGCATTTCCCTTCAAAGACTCTTACATGTTGCAATTCAGCCGAGAAAGAGGGGGTCCTTGCATGAGGGCAGTACTAGTGAGATGGGGGACCTAGCACAATACCGAGTATTGCCCAGCAGAGTTTAGTCATTGATACTCAAGAAAGACACTCATGAAATAAAACAAAATGAGACTTGCTTTTATAGTAAGGGGGGGCCACATCCTGCACCTGGATTATCACCGTATATTTATTGCCGGCTGCTAGGTTACTTGGATTTTCATAGTCTAGATCACCAATCAGCTAGACTAAAACAGAGATAGTAGATTATACAGATTAAACAATCCTATTTATTAGGCTGTGAGAGATATTTTCATACACTGCTAGTGGATATATAAATTGGCAAAACGCTTTTGGAGAACACTTTGCCCATAAAAATGAGGAACTTTAAAAAGTTATGACCACACCTTTGCTCACTGCTAGTGAACTTAATGGAAATGATTTACCAGGAGAGAGAATCTATGTACAAAGATGTTCATTAAGCACTATTGCTCAGGATCACAACTTCAGATTCGTTGCAGAAAAGCACAAAATTGAATCTTATATGCAGGGTTACTTCATTATAGTAGTCCCCCCTTATTATCTGTGGTTTTGCTTTTGACAGTTTCAGTTACTTGCAGTCAACCACAGTCTGAAAATAGTGAGTACAGCACTATAAGGTATTTTGAGAGAGAAACCACATTCACATAACTGGTTTTCTTTATTCTTTTTTTAGAGATAGGGGTCCCCTTTGTTGCCCAGGCTGGCGTGCAGTGGCTATTCACAGGTGTAATCATAGCTCACTGTAGCCTCAAACTCATGGCCTCAAGTGATCCTCCCATCTCAGCCTCCTAAGTAGTTGGCACTATGGGTGTGCACCACCATGCCCAGTGTCACATAACTTTTGTTATAGTATTTTGGTATAATTTTTCTATTTTATTATTATTATTGTCAATGCTTACTGTACCTAATTTATAAATTAAACTTACTACAGGTATTTATGTATAGAAGGAAAAAACATAACTTATTTAGGGTCTGGTACTATCTGTGGTTTCGAGCATTCACTAAGGGTCTTGGAACATATGGATAAGGTGGATAAGGGGGCACTACTGTATTTAAAATTCATATGCAGGCTGGGCACAGTAGCTCATGCCTATAATCCCAGCACTTGGGGAGGCCAAGGTGGGAGGACTGCCTGAGACCAGGAGTTTGAGACCAGCCTGGGCAACATAGCAAGACTCCATCTCTAGAAAAACCTAAAAAAAAAGCCAGGCACGGTGGCACACTCCTGTAGTCCCAGCTGCTAGGGAGGCTGAAATGTGAGGATCACTTGAGCCTAGGATTTCGAGAGTTTGAGGCTGTGGTGAGCTATGATTGCACCACTGTACTCCAGCCTGTGTGACAGAGTGAGACAAGGTATCTTAAAAATAAATAAATATGGCTAACCCGGTGAAACCCCGTCTCTACTAAAAAAATACAAAAATCTAGCCGGGCGAGGTGGCGGGCGCCTGTAGTCCCAGCTACTCGGGAGTCTCGAGGCAGGAGAATGGCGTGAACCCGGGAGGCGGAGCTTGCAGTGAGCTGAGATCCGGCCACTGCACTCCAGCCTGGGCGAGAGAGCGAAACTCCGCCTCAAAAATAAATAAATAAATAAATAAATAAATAAATAAATAAATAAATAAATAAAAATAAAAAATACCTATGCATATATGTATAAAATAGACATAAAATATATCTATAGAAAAGAGACAAGAAGGACATGTACCAAACTATTAACACTGGTTATCAGTGAATGGTGATGCTTTTCTGTGCTTTCTGTATTTTCTACAATGAACATGTATTAATTTCCTAAACAGAAAAAAATAGAAATTATTTTTAAGATGGCACTATGAATAAAGTGGGTGAGATGTTCTTGGGGATTGAAGAAGGGTTTGGGATGGGAGGTGGAGAAGAAAGCCGGGTGAGGGGAAGGGTAGTGGGTTGCTGGCTTCCCTCCCTGAGGCTGCTGCTTTCCCAACCCTTTCATTTTTCTCTTCTCCTTCCCCACCACCTTCCAGCAGGAACTCTGTAAGGAAAGGTCTAACTCCGCTCATTGGGACCCACTTTTCATGTCCATCCTTCTTCCAGTGCAGCTTTTGTCCCCTGGAGTTGCTAGGGAGGGGGCTCCCTACACATCCTCACTGTCTCACTCTCCTCTGGTCTCCAGTGGTTCCACGGTGTGGAATTTGTCCAGACACACTCAAGGTCCCGGCCCTGCTTTCTATCACCTCACACCTCTATGGGCCGGGAATGAGCACTCAAATAAACAAAAGTGCCTGAGCACAGAGGGCACTGATGTGTCTGTGAAGGCATGCTAAGCAGGCACACAAACTGCATGCTATGCAAGAAAGAATCCAGTCCTTAGCAGCCCAGGCACAACTATGTGTAACAAACGATTCCTGGAACCGGGGTAAAATAAAGAGCGGTTGGGGAACACAGACTCACTATTAAGCCTGTCAGTTACAGTCGCTCTGAGAGGGGGTTACCTTGGAAATTTCTCTCTATGGGGCAGCAAAAGCACGATGCATGTTGGACCAATTCCCAATGCCCTTTTAATGATGCAATGACCATTAACTGACCACAATTTTCCCAGAGCCAGCTGGATCCTGTAAAAATCTGCCGCCGCTCCCCACTCCAGATGGCATGGTGAAGTTGAATCTGTTGTTTGGTGCCTCACTGTCATCATCAAAGCAGAACTTGTTCAGGTCAAGAAGCAACGTCCCCTTGGCTGTTCTTTCCGGCACCATAATGCTGGTGAAAAGACACAATCCAGTATTTCCCCCAACAAATGGTAATCGACTGTTCCTTCTCACATGGGTCCTGGGCTAGACACCTCTACTTTAACTGCAATTCAAAGTGAGTCCATGGTCACTGCAGTCACCTCCTAACTGGTCTCCCTGATTCTGCCCTTGCTACCTTTGGGGCTATTTTAAACACAGCGGCCAGAGGGATCCTGTTAACATGTTGTCAGATCATGTCACTCCTCTGCTCCTAAGTCCCAAATGGCTCCTCATTTCATTCAGAGTCCCACTTTTGATCTGCAGGATGTTTCATGACGTGCCTGCCTTTTCCTCTCTGAACTCGTCTCCCACTAGCTCCTTTCCTTGTCCACTCTCCTCCTGCCACTCTGGCCTTCTGGTGCTCCCTGAACTCTTCATGAGGCTCTGGCCTCAGCATCACTGCATTAGCTGTGGAATCCTCTCCCCCCAAATACCCATGTGACTCACACTTTCACTTTCATCTATCTAATCAAATGTCACCTTATCAGTGAGGCTACCTGATCGAGAATGGCAATATTCCCTGTCCCGTACTTCCTCTCCTATTCCCCTCTTTATTTTTAATTCCCAGCACACATCATTATCTGATGCACCATATATTTCTGTTGTTTATTCTGTTTATTGTCTATTTCCCTCCTAGAAAGTAAACTCTATGAGGGCAAGGATCTTTGCTTGTTTCTTGGCACACTCAATAAATATTTGTTGAATGAATGAACAATAGACTTATAAGACTAGCACAGTTGTGAAGAAGAAGAGAAGAGAAATACAAATTTTACCTCCTGCCTGAAGGAGTTTCTAATTGGGCTAGGGAGAATCCCTGTACCCCTCATCTCCCATGCTTTGAAGATTGAGAATTCTTTGACTTGTGTTCTAGTGGCTTCAATGACCTAGAAGGGCCTCCTAACACCTTCATATTATTCATCCAAAAGATGTTTATTAATGGTCAAATTTGGGGGTCTCAATCTCAGTAGACTCCAGGGTTTAGGCAAATAACACAAATGAATAAAGCTACCCCCAAACTCAGAGCCTTCCCATCAAGCCCAGCTTGCTGTAGGAGGCTTTGAGGGAGACCAATGAACACCTGGAGGCTTCAAATCATTGAGAGACTTTCTCCTGTCTCCAGGTTTCAGTTCCTCCATCTATAAAATGGACATAAATGATATCAATTCGTTTTTACTACGTAACACACCATCCCCAAACTGAGTGAATTAAAACAACAAGCATTTATGATTTCTCACAGTACTATAGGTTTTCCCACAGTCCTTTTGGTTTAAGTTTGGCTCAGCTGGTCTCTGTGGTCACTGACAGCTTGGCTGGGGCTGGATGGTCTAGGATGGCCTCACTCACATGCCCAGTGGTGGGAAGGTGCTTGGTTTCTGCTTCTTGTTGTTCTCATCTTCTAGGAGGCTAGTCTAGGCTCATTGCATGGAGGTCTCTGGCTTCCAAAAGTAACAAGAGAGGGCAAATCCCAATGCGCATGCATTTTCCAAGCCTCTGCTGTGCCATGTTTGTTAATGCTCCAGTGGTCAAAGCAATTCACATGGTCAAGTTCAGATTCAAGGAGACCCATCTCTTGATGGAATAGCAAAATCACATTGCAAAGGAGCATGCATGCAGAGCAAGCAGGGAGGAATTTGTGGCTTTTCTTTCTTTTTTGTTTGTTTTGGCTATCTATCTTAATCATATTTTGCCTTGGTAGAATTTCTTACAAAAAGATATCGTGGCTGTCATGAGAATGTGCCTGGAAGACCTTCAACCATGAGAGCATAACTGACCATCGGCCTCAGCTGCTGGGCTCTGAATCCATCACTGTGTTTGTGGTGAGACCACGTACCAACAACTGGTCATGGCAAAGATACTAAGGCTCATTCCTGTCCTGTGTCAGCTGACACTGACTCCAGGACCCCCAGTGCCCTAGCTGAACACTCCTTAGACTGCATGGCAGCCTAGAATATATCCAACTACCTTTTCTCCCTCTTTCCTTTACTCGGATCAGCCTTGCATCATGATCTGATGACTTGTCCAGCCTTGTCCATCTCTCTCCCCATTTTCTGCCACAGGCATCTCCCCTAATAATAATAATAGCCTTGCACATTTAACCCCATCCTAGCATCTGGTTCTTGGAGCATACACTTCTCTCTGCAACCAAACTCTGCTCCCTTCTTTGTTCCACATCCTCTTTTCATGGCAGATAAAATCGGCCCTGGGCTCAGTGCATACAGAGCAAAGTCTGACAGCAAGAATGGTCATGGGCCACTTGCTTGAGGATAACAGGTTTGCTTGCTGGAGCGAAAACAGGTGTAATGGAGTCTCCATGATGCCTCATTGGCAAAGATTACCTCTGTATTTCAGCAGGATTGGAGTCTGAGCATTCCTGCCTTGATTGCACAATGTCATGGTTTCATTCATAGGGACTTAGAATAGACACTACTTATTAAACACCAACTGCATGCTGTATCATACCGAGCACTTTAAAAACACTATCTCTAATTTCCTCATCTCAGAGAGGTTTGTATTCTTGTCTCCACTGCACGGGGGAAGAAAGAGTGGTTCCGAGCATTTTCAACGCCTGTCCAGGAAAGTGGATGTATACAGACTCGATCCTCTGCAGTGTTAGAGTCACTGTAAACTTTAACTTCCATCGATAAGTATCCAGGCTCACAGATGGTTTGGGGATCTAAGCCTTGATTTCAACTCTGCAGAAGCCAGGAGATTGCATCATTTAAAGAATCCAAGGTTCTGAAGCCAGACATTTCAGGCACTCCAACAGAGGCCTCTTCACTTGGCCCCCCAGAACTGTTTGGCCTGTTCTCTCATTCATCCCTGACAGCTGGGTTTTTTCCCCTAAACGCCTAACTTGGAAAGCCACTCCCCTCACTCAGCAATCCCTGCCTCAAAAGCGGACTACCTTCGCTCCCAGACATCAGACCATGTTTCTCTCCCCATGCAAAGGCGACTGTGTCCAGCCCGTTCCGAATCAGCCAAACTGCTCCGCCTCTTGCTCACAAACAGCTTGTGAAGCGCTTTCAGTGAAGAGCCTGACAATTTACAACCAGAGCGGGGGTTGTCACGGTGCCTCGGAAGCCTCCGCTGGGCCCTGGGCTCTTTCATTATCAGCCTGGGAAAGCCGCAGGGGCCACGGTGCGAAGGGCTGGGAGCCTGCAGGGGCCCTCGCGGGCAGCAGGGGGCGCCCGCCTCCTCCAGGCCGCCCTCCTCCCAGCGGGAGCACAGCACGCGGCCTCCAGCAGCCGCGCTGACCCCACCGGCTCTGCCACCTGCTCTCAAGAACTCCATAGCAGAGACCGTGCCCACAGCCTCTGAGGAAGGAACAAACATTAAAGAGCAAGTGTCAGAGACTGTGGCAGAACCACTGCCATTGTCACTTTGTTCTGTTTGGACCTGCTTGTGTGCTTGGCTTTGACATAGTCCGACTGGAGAAGGTATAAGGTTGGGAGGATGGCGGGTGCTGCAGGTTAGGGCTTCTCAGCCCTCTCGCACCCACCCTTATGCAGCCTTGGGACGCGGGGCTGGGCTTTAGGCTGAAGACCTCCACCGCTGGAACTGCAGAGGAGGCGTCCCTTTCGTTGCCCTTCCTTACATCTTGGCGTTCATAGGGTGGCTGAGAGGTTCTCCCGCTAGAATAGCCCAGAGAAGGGACTTGAGCCTTGGTTAGATTATCTTCAGTAATAAATGCAGTTAGTCCAGTTACGGATTTCACTTCGGCCTTCAGGGCTAATCTGGAGGGAAGATTATCAAGAGCAGGACTCTGTTTGGGCTTGCCTGGACAATCTAGGATATTCAAATTGCAGTTTCACCAGCTAATATGGAACACAGTCTGCAAACTATCCTCCCATACCCCAGGGGAATCTGGACTGCAGGAAGCCAAATATACAATTAACAGATATGCACTGAAGAGAGAAAATGGACAAGGAAGGTTTGAGACAGCACAGCCCTCTCCAGACATTCTCACTTCTTAACCTTCACCCCCTACCTCTTAGGGCAGAGGAACAAGGAAGAGCAGGAGGACAGAAGAGGGCAGGAGCTTCCCAGGATGTACTGGAACCACCCAAGAGTGCTAGCACAGATTTAAAATGTCAAATAAAGTGTAAGTGTGATGCTGCAAATTGTCTTTACTCCATCCCCAGGGCCCAGACATCTCTCAATTTATGCATGTAAAGGTGTGGAAGTCACAATCCTAACTACCCATGCAGCTATCCCCACCCATCTAATGGACTTGTAGGGCTTAGGTTGGGATAGGAACCTACTATGTGCTCAAGATTGTGACTGACGTTATTGGGGTGTCAGCAGGAAGCAGCTGGTGAATTAAGATCATTCTAGGAGGGGTCAGTAAAGGGACTATGAAGAAGGTGCTCACAGAGTATATGGAAATCTCATGGTACAGTGCAATATCTCAGGGCTCATGAGAGTGAAGCACCCTTACCACCTCTAGGCCCAGGGGAGCCAGTGGAGGAATCAGGCCCTGCCACCAGGGACAGAGAGCTGCCTATGGGAATGGAGATATTCAGGCAGGGGAGGGATGTACCCAGCTCACGAGGAGGGAGACTGACCCTCCTCTTTCCCTCTTTCCAGGACTCCCCATTGGCCAACCAGAAACTGAAAGGCAAGGGAGCTGGTTGGTACCTGATATGGTTTGGCTGTGTCCCCACCTAGATCTCATCTTGAATTCCCACATGTTGTGAGAGGCACCCAGTGGGAGGAAATTGAATCATGGGGGCAAGTCTCTCCTGTGCTGTTCTTGTGATAGTGAATAAGTCTTACAAGATCTAATGACTTTATAACGGGGAGTTTCCTTGCACAAGCTCTCTCTTTGCCTGCTGCCATCCGTGTAAGACATGACTTGCTCCTCCATGCCTTCTGCCATGATTGTGAGGCTTCCCCAGCCACGTGGAACTGTAAGTCCATTAAACCTCTTTTGTAAATTACCCAGTCTCATGTATGCCTTTATCAGCAGTATGAAAATGGACTAATCCAGTGAATTGGTACCAATAGAGTAGGGTACTGCTGTAGATACCTGAAAATCTGGAAGCAATTTTGGAACTGGGTAACATGCAGGGGTTGGAACAGTTTGGAGGGCTCAAAAGAAGACAGGAAAATATGAGAAAGTTTGGAACTCCCTTAAGACTTGTTGAATGGCTTTGACCAAAATGTTGATAATTATATGGACAATTAAATCCAGGCTGAGGTGGTCTCAGATGGAGATCAGGAACTTGTTGAGAACCAGAGCAAAGGTAACTCTTGTTATGTTTTAGCAAAGGGACTGGTGGCATTTTGCCCCTGCCCTAAAGACTTGTAGAACTTCGAACTTTAGAGAGATGATTTAGGGTATCTGGTAGAAGAAATTTTTAAGCAACAAAGCATTCAAGATGTGACTTGGGTACTGTTAAAGGCATTCAGTTTTATGAAGAAAGCAGAGCTTAAAAATTTGGAAATTTTGCAGCCTGACAATGCGATAGAAACGAAAATTCCGTTTTCTGAGGAGAAATTCAAGACAGCTGCAGAAATTTACATAAGTAACAAGGAGCTGAATGTTAATCACCAAGACAATGGGGAAAATGTCTCCAGGGCCTGTCAGAGATCTCTGTGGGAGCCACTCCCATCACAGGCCCAGAGGTTTAGGAAGAAGAAATGGTTTCATGGGCCAGGCCCAGTGTCCCTCTGTTGTGTGCAGCCTAGGGACTTGGTGCCCTGCATCCCAGCTGCTCTAGCTGTGACTAAAAGGGGCCAAGGTACAGCTCGGGCTATTGCTTCAGAGGTTGGAAGCCCCAAGCCTTGCCAACTTTCATGTGGTGTTGAGCCTGTGGGTACACAGAAGAATTGAGGTTTGGGAACCTCCATTTAGATTTCAGAGGATGTATGGAAATGCCTGGATGCCCAGGCAGAAGTTTGTTGCAGGGGCAGCCCCTCATGGAGAACCTCTGCTAGGGCAGTGCAGAAGGGAAATGTGGGGTTGCAGTTCCCACACAAAGTCCCTAGTAGGGCACTGCCTAGTGGAGCTCTGAGAAGAGGGCCACTGTCCTCCAGACCCCAGAATGGTAAATCCACTGACAGCTTGTACCATGCACCTGGAAAAGCCACAGACATTCAAGTGCCAGCCCGTGAAAGCATCCGAGATGGAAGCTGTACCCTGCAAAGCCACAGGAATGGAGCTGCCCAAGATTATGGGAACCCACCTCTTGCATAAGTGTGACCTGGATGTGAGACATAGAGTCAAAGGAGATGATTGTGAAGCTTTAAGATTTGACTACCCCGCTGGATTTCAGACTTGCATGGGGCCTGTAGCCCCTTCATTTTGGCCAATTTCTCCCATTTGGAACAGCTGTAACAATGCCTATACCCCCATTGTATCTAGGAAGTAACTAACTTGCTTTTGATTTTACAGGTTCATAGGCAGAAGGGACTTGCCTTGTCTCAGATGAGACTTTGGTCTGTGGACTTTTGAGTTAATGCTGAAATGAGTTAGGACTTTGGGGGACTGTTGGGAAGGCATGATTGGTTTTGGAATGTGAGAACATGAGATTTGCAAAGCGCTGGGGCAGGATGATATGGTTTGGCTGTGTCTCCACCAAAGGTTCATCTTGAATTCCTACATGTTGTGGGAGAGACCTGATAGGAGGAAATTGAATCATGGGGGCAAGTCTTTCCTGTGTTGTTCTCGTGATAGTGACTAAGTCTCATGAGATCTGATGGATTTATAAGTGGGAGTTTCCCTACACAAGCTCTATCTGTTTGCCTGCTGCCATCCCTGTAAGATGTAACTTGCTCCTCCTTGTCTTCTGCCATGATTGTGAGGCTTCCCCAGTCATGTGGAACTGTAAGTCCAATTAAACCTCTTTCTTTTGTAAATTGCCCAGTCTCAGGTGTATCTTTATCAGCAGCATGAAAACAGACTAATACAGTATCCATCCAGGTCAGCGTCTTGGAGCACAGAGCAGGGTGGAGACTGGATCTGAAGGGACAAGTCAGTGGTGCGTCCAGAACAGAGTTTAACCATTTTGATATCAGACTCGAGGCCACATGGATCCTTTAGCATTACGCTGGGCATGCCATTTGGGAGAGGGAAACATTCATGAGTATAATAAAGGAATTTCTATTTCCCCTACTCCTCCAAGGCAATCCTGGTCTAGGGTCCTTTGTCCTCTGCATGTATTGGGTCTATGTCCAGAGTCACCTGGAGAAAACTTACAAAACGACTCAAAGATAAACTCAGGAGACTCACCCCATGGGGACATCTGGAACTGAGACCCACCCTGGTCATCAGCCTTGCTCCAGATACAGGGCTGTCTTTTAGCAAGGGCTACTGTGGAGTTGCTCCCCACAACTCAAATTCCTCCCAAAGAGCCCTCTTCAGCCTCTCAGGAGACCAGAGACTGGCTGGAACAAAACCTTAGAGATGAGGCTTATGTGAGAAAGTACTAATCATGTGACTCTGACAAAATAGTAGAAAGATAATATTGTTTTCAAAAAGCATATTAATCCAGAATCACAAGCGACTTTATTGTAAAATAATAGCAAATAGATTGTGGGACAAAGAATGAGTCAAAATATACAAAATCACTTGTATCCCACTTGTACCTGCATTTTTTCCCTTTCGGATGTCTTTTGTTTATATTCAATTAAGTTGTGTAAGGTGAATTCGATGCTTTGTTTGGTTTTACATAAGTACTTGGTTTTGATTTATTCATCTGGCTGGTGGTGTGTTTCTCTGGGAGTTCCTATTCACTGATCCTAAGTCTCAAACATCTATTATAACTGCTAACTAACAGCCCCATCTTGCCACCCGTGGCAATAAACAAAAACAGGCACGGTCTAGAGAGGGCCTAACAAGTCCCTGTGGTCCTTTTCACCAACGGAGATGAGCAGGATATAGAAGGGAGCAAAATAAAAAATAATTTTTAAGAGTAAGAAAGTGAACAAGGGAGATAATGAAGAAGAAGGAAAATGAAAGAGAGGGAAGAAAAAAGGATGACAACAAGGAAACCTGTGGACAAAAGTGAACAGTTCACATCAATTTATTCTACTAAGCTGTTTCTCCAAATGCTTATAATTCTTCAGGTCCTCCTGAGAATATACCAGAGAAGCCAAAGGGTGGAGGACCACCAAAGAGGTAGAATGTCCAACCCAAGTTTCGAAGTGTGCATACCTGAAGGTGGACCTTTGGCATGTGGCAGGATTGTTGCTGATGTCTTCCACAATGAAGGTCATCTGGATGTGATTCTCCTGACCCCCATATGGTCTGTCCTTCACTAGAACTTCCAGGGAAATGGTAGGAGTTTGTCTCAATTCACCTGCATCTCGGTGTATCATTTGGGCCACTTGGATTGCACCAGTCACGAAGAAAGCAAAGGTTAGAATGTGACCCTTTGAAGAGAAATGAAAAGGAATACAGAAACTTGGAGAAAACTGGAAAAGACCATTCTAACATGAGGAAGAGCTTATGCAGAGCATAATCTCTATACAAATACATTTTTGAAAACCCATTAAGTTCCTCTGTTAGACATTTATTGGGGTATCTTGCCTGACCCTTCTAGGATTTTTCACACCGTACTCCAGAGTTGGATCCCTGGTGGCAGCCCTTGCCCAGAGTGGACTGGACTGGTGAATAACTGACTCCAGCTTGACCCACAGGGCTCTCTTATTGGAGAATTTGTAACTGAAAGGCACACATTGGAAGATCACAGGCTAATTGTGGAGCTACAGAGCCTAGGTCCCTGGGGCAGCACTGGGTCACATCCTTCGTATGCCCCCATCTTTTGACATTTTCTTAGGAGATGCCCAGAATCCTGTTGATAGATGTCCCTGCCTTTTTCTTTTATTTTTCTTTTTTTTTTTTTTTTTTTCTGTTAGCTTGGTTCGCCTTAGTTTCTGTTACCTGCGACCAAAGAATCTTAATAAATATGCTCAACAAAAAGAAAAAAAAAAACTCACTCTGCTTGTTAAAAGTTGAATTTTGCAACACTAGAGTGAACAGAACTCTCAGCCATGGTTATCCCTACACTATCAGCTGACAGGGCATTAGGACGTTTTCAGAGGCAGTGCACAATTACTGCCTTTGCCTGGCTCTCCTGGGAATAGGTATCCTTTGCCCGAAAGCCTAAGGAGCCAATAGCACATTTTTTTGGGGGGATTGTCTAAGGCTGGAAGTCCTTTTTGGTGATGCGATCAGGACTTACAGGAGTGGGGCAGTCTGGTAGTGGTTAAGAAGATAGGCCTGAGGAATCAGGTGGCTTAGGTTGGTACTTGAACTTCACGACCTACAAGCTGTAAGACCTTCAACAAATTGTTTAACCTGCCTGAGGCTCTCCCTAGGCCTCAGTTTCCTCATCTGTAAAATGTGAACGATGATAGTTCATTCAGTTGCTATCTTGAGTACTTGAGATGAGATGTATGTGAATAATCACTCAGCATAATGCCTGGTGTGTACTAAGGCCCCAGGAAAAGATGGTTATAGAAGTGCAGAGAAGGGAAATTCGTCCCCTTTAGAGATATTCAGATGGGAAAATAACTCCCATCGGTCTGGCAGATTGAGCAAAATGACACTGTCCCATGCAGTTACCACTAGTCACATGAGAGTTATTGAGCAATTAAATGGTGCTAATCCAAATTGAGATGTACTGTAAGCATAAAACATACAACAGTCTTCCAAGACTTGGTACCAAAGAAAATGATATGAAATATCTCATGAATCACTTTTTTTTTTTTTTTTTTTGAGACAGGGTTTTGCTCTGTCACCCAGGCTGGAGTAGAGTGGAATGATCATAGCTCACTGCGGCCTTAAACTCCTAGGCTCAAGAGATCCTCCTGCCTCAACTTCCTGAGTAGCTGGGACTATAGGTGTGGATCACCACACTCAGCTAATTTTTAAACTTTTAGTAGAGACAGGGTTTCGCTACGTTGCCCAGGCTGGTCTCAAACTCCCGGGCTCAAGCGATCCTCTGGCCTCAGCCTCCCAAAGTGTTGGGATTACAGACATGAGCCACCATGCCTGGCCGTGAATAACTTTTAAGTATTGATCACGTGTTGAAATAATATTTTATACATGTTAAATAAAAATGCCTAATTAAAATTAATTTCTCCTATATCTTTTTACTTTTTAAAAATGTGACTACTAGAGACTTTGAAATTATATAAGTGACTTGATTCTATTCTTATTGGACAGTGCTGATATAGCCCCTCTCTTCAGAAGACTTCGGGGAACCCTCAGGATAAGTAACCCATCCATCCTTACACACCTGCCTTTGAGAAAAAGGTGATGGGATTCAGGACACATTATCCCAAAATATGGCACCTTGGCATTTGAGAAAACAGCAGAAGCAGGAAGGTCTCTGACCTTCTCCAGCCCTTCTTCCCTGAAGCAGCCCATAAAAGAGCTCTCTGGCTTTCGTTTGAAGCAGTCATAAGACCTTCATTCCAGCGGTATCCTACCTATACCTGGAGGAAAGGAACATCCTATTCTGGAAGACAGAGATGCCAGGAAAAATCTGAACAAACAGACCTTGCTAAATTCCCCAGGTTTATTATCATTGGGTCATACCCTTTTGTCCTGCAATCATACTTCTCCATAATTACTCACTTCATCAAACTGAGCATAAAAACACATGGATTTCCCTGTTTCTTTGAGTCTTCATTTCTGAAGACTCTGGTGTAACATAAAACTTAATATTGAATAAATTTGTATGCTTTTCTCTTGTTAATCTGTCTTTTTTTATAGAGGTCTCAGTCACAAATCTAACAATGGGTAAGAAAATAAATCTCTTCACCGCCCCCGCCCCATCCCCCACAAAGGTGAAGAGCAACATAGCTGTCAACCCTATTTAGTTTGCCCAACCCCCATGCCAGCTGCTTTTAATACATCTATTACCTTGGTAACCAATGATGACCCCAGACAGAAAGACATGCCCCATACCAGAAGATAAGAAAAATACAATCAGCTCTCTGTATCCATGGGTTCTGCATCCTCAGATTCAACCAACTGAGGATTAAAAATATTCAGGAAAAATAAATGGCTGGTTGCATCTGTACTAAACATGTACAGACATTTTTTTCTTTCATTATTCCCTAAACAATACAACAACTATCTACATAACATTTACATTGCATTGGGTATTATAAGGAATCTAGAGATGATATAAAGTATATGGGGGAACATGCATAGGTTATATGCAAATACGATGCCATTTTATAGGAGAGACTTGAGCATACATGGATTTTGGTATCCATGGTGCGTCCTAGAACCAATTCTCATGGGTGTCGAGGGACAACTGCATTGTAAAACAATTCAAATGGCTGAATTAGAGGATGCACTTAAGGATGGAGGTGAGTGCCTTACACTGATTTATCATGAAATATTTGCTAACAGTGGTAATGCTGTAGAGGAGGTGACTAGGAAAACCTTCATCATCAGGATTCTCCGCTGTGATATTGGCCATGATGCTTCCTGGACTCAGTTCCTCCAGGATCGGGTACACTCATGTCTGACTGGAACAGAGATATAGCAGATACAGCTAATTTTCAGGGACATGGGAAGGTAGCGTCTAGGCGATTGATATTTTGGTTAGTGCTAAATATAGTGCAGAGCTGTTCAAGTTGTATCAACATGCTCAGAGGGAGAGCACAGCAGTGGAAAGGAGGGGTGGCTGGCTTTTGTATTCCCAAAGATCACATCCCTGTGGATGTGAAGAAAGTACCTGTGAAGAAAATATGCTGTCGTTGCGACAATTTACATGGGCCACAGTCTCTGACCCTACACACATCTGCCTGATGTCATTTCAGATCAGCCTTGGCATTAACGTCTTTTGAAATAAGGATAGGTGGCCTATCCGGCTAGCTTTTCTCATTTTCCCACTTTTTGTGCAGATTTCCCTGAATTCTTTTAGAAATCAGTGTGTCCAGAGTTACATGCCAGGGTCATGTCCAGAGTTGCGGGTTCCCTCCCTTGTTCCTGACTCCTATCCCATGGCTGCCACCAGAAGCCAGAAAAATTGTAAAGCTTCTGTATTCTCATGCCTTTGCTCACTTTTTTTTCTTCCTTTTTTTTTTTTTTTTTTTTTTGCCTGAGGATATAGAATTTATGCACAGAACTTGTGTACCTTTCCAAGTTGCATTAATCATGAGGTCAGCTTTCTGAACTGAGAAATAGGTCCCCTGGCAGAAGACCAGTCCCCATTATTGTCCTCCTTCTTGCAAGATAACCCCAAATCACCAACTTACCCATCTTCCTCAGACCTCCACCAATGCCTTTGGAACAAGCCAGTAGTGAGACTGATAGGTTGGGAGTTTTAACTAACTATACATTGAGTAATTTTGAATGCTCTAAGGGAGGCTTATTGTTTAAAATAACTCTGCAGGAATATGGGGCAAATAGTCACCTCTAATTTCCCAGTTTCCCAAGTGGAGGTCTTCCCATATGGGATCTTCAAGAGGGGTATAGTACTTCTTAGATCTAAGTGACTGCATTCCTTTCATGAGCTCGGAATATTTCTGCTGTGCTATCTCACCAACCCTATAAGGTAGGTAGGGCCAGAGGAAGGAGAAATGGCAGGAAATCAATAGCTAGAGTCAGAGGCAGTCAGAGAAAGGCAGGAACCAGGGCCTCACCCCAACCCTCCCCACCAGGGCTCCTCCCTGGATCCAAGTTCCCCCCACATCCATTCACAAGGTGGTCTTCTGTGGGTATACTCCATTGCTGGGGGAGAGTAATCATGTTCAGCCTAAGGTCACTCCAAGGTCCCACTGAAACAGGCCCATTCATCCTTTCCCTTACCTGACATACCTCCTACTCAGGGAGTCTGTGATGCTGCCCCTGATGGGTCTAGGAATAGGCAAAGGGGGATGGGGCCAAAGAGATGGGGTGGCAGGAACCGAAACCAGAACCAGGAGGGAAGGAGATGACCCCAGCTCCCTAGGCTGGGCCAAGCCCCTCAGTCCCTTCTGTGAGTGCCCCTGTTGTTGATATAGTATGCTTTTGCTTTGGTCATCATGAGTGAGTTCTGTTAACTTCCAACACAGAGGCCACTAAGATGCCTGTGCTAATCACACAGCCATGCGCTACTGCTCCAAGCATGCTCCTAGTAAAAGCATCACCAAGGAGCTGGTTAGACATGCAGACCTCAGGTCTGCCCACCCCAGCTCTCCGAACCAGGATTGGCTTTTTCACAAGATGCCCCGCAGATCTGTATAGGCTTTAACGTTTCAGAAGGATGATTATAAGATGATGCCACAGGTGGCAACCACAGGCTCCCAGCCTCCCACAGGACAGAGAGAGGACACAGAGGAAAAGCCCCTTCCTCCCATCATCCCTCCTTCCTTCTCAGGCAGTGGTTCTCAGCTGGGGGGTGGGGGTGGTGTCTGAACACATGTTTGATTTTCACAACTAGGGGAGAGAGCTGCTATTGATGTTTAGGGGACAGAACCTGGAGATGCTGCTAAACATCCTCCAATGCACAGGACAGCCCCTCTACAAAGGGGTACCTGGCTCAATGCCAGCAGTGCTGCTGTTTAAGAAACTCTGCTCTGAAGGCTCATCTAGTCCATGCTGGGTGCTTCCAGGAACCCAGATCCCCGAGAAGGGAACTAGTCAGGCTATTGGCCATGACACAGCTGCTCAGGTGAAATATTCTCTCCTTGGTTAACCTGACATTGAGCCTGGCAGGAGATAAAATCTTTAGTCTATTTGACTTTTGAATCCAAGATACAGGTATATATAAAATATCATTCAACATAGACGACAGTTAAGAGCTATTCAAAGCACAGTGAAGCCAGGTGCCATGCAGCCACCCTGACAGAGTAAAGCTCTGCTACCACTTGTATTCCCACACCCTTCTTCCCTGTAACACATGACCCCCAGAGCTTGGGCCAGCAGCCACACTCATGGGGAAGGGTGTGAATGCTGGGAAGCCATGGATGGCTTCACCACTATGAATGAGTATTCAGTAAGTGCTCAAGGTGTGCATGACACTGCCAGGCACCAGGTAGAAAAGGACTGAGTAAATACAAAAGAAATGGGCAGGAGAGGAGAAAGACCTACCTACCCAACTCTAAAATAAAGTGCTCTGCACACACAGCAAGCTCCGTGCACAGGAAAACAGTAAATATGTCAGGTGCTTTTTTTTTTTTTTTCTTTTTTTGAGATGGAGCTCTGCTCTTGTTGCCCAGGTTGGAGTGCAGTGGCATGATCTCAGCTCACCGCAACCTCCGCCTCCTGGGTTCAACCAATTCTCCTGCCTCAGCCTCCTGAGTAGCTGGGATTGCAGGCACCCGCTACCACGCCTGACTAATTTTGTATTTTTAGCAGAGACAGGGTTTCACCATGTTGGTCAGGCTGGTCTCGAACTCCTGACCTCAGGTGATCCACCCGCCTCGGCCTCCCAAAGTGCTGGGATTACAGGCGTGAGCCACCGCACCCGGTCTGTCAGGTGCTTTTATAATAAGATGCTCAAATTCAATAATGGCAGACTCCTGGATCATGCGTCCTGAGTCTATAAAGCTTTCTGACATTTGTCGCCAACCAGGGGTACAATGGGGAGACATTCTCAAGAACAGACATAGGACTTGCTTTGGTTGTGTTAACTGCATGAGTTTAACAAATAGTAAAGATAGACAGGCTGTCTGTACGTTTTACATTTGTATTTCACCCTCAAACTCAGTACACTTGAGTCTGTTTGAAGATTTAATTTTGTTAATCCTGAATTAAAGAAGTTATCATTAGTGCTAGCACTGATTTATGGGAAAAGGAGGCTCAGAAGCTCAAGGGAATCATGAAAGCCCCCGAAGTCAGCATGTAGTTTGAAGCCGAGCAAATCCTTTCAAATGGCAATGGCTGAGGGATGAGGTTCTCTCACTGACTGCCCCCACTCGTTCTTTTGGAGTGAGGCTCTAGCAGACCCATCCTCACCTTCAACCAAGGAATGCTGTTTGAATAAAGTCGACTAACTTAAAAAGCGAACAAACAGACAAAAGACTGTTACACAGATCATGCTGTCTGCCTGGGGATGGAGCCCAATATGTTCCTCTTTCAAACCTAAAATGAGAACCAGAGAGTTCCAGGCTGACCTCTGGGCGCATCCTAAGCCAGCAAGGGTCATGTTCTCTCTCAGCTAAAGTCAGTTTCTGTATTTTGGAAGATGTGGTCCAAACCAAATGGTTTATAAGCTCTGCCCCTGGGGAGGACTTACTATTTTTCACTTTGCAACCCCATTAACCTTCCTCCCCTCCTCCCAGATGGGACTTGTGGGGAAGGTGTCAAAGAATGCATCTGCTCCAGCCCTGCAGCCATCACCTTCCTCTGGGGGTTCTTGAAGAATGCAGACTGTGTGGGCCCATACCTGAGCCTGAGTCTGGGTTGGGATGTCATAACTGTTAATAGGCTGCCTGGACTTTGCTCCAGGAGCCACCTGTCAGCCCAAAGGCACTGAGCTCTCCTTCTGAACCTAACCCAGCATCAGGTGCTGATGGAAAGCATTACATAACAATTTAATAACAGCAGATAAATTGAGGGCCAAGGTTTGAAAGAGGAACGTATCAGGGCTCCATCCTCAGGCTGTGGGGGTGGAGCAGATGCATTCTTTGACACCTGCCACTGGACTGTAGACTGTGTTAACATCCAGAAGTTGTGCAACTGTGGTGTGTTTGCCAAGTGGCACCAGGTTAGTCTGGGAGTGAGGTTGCCATAATACCTCCCAATCTTGGAATACTTTTGCAAGCCCTCTACCCACCTCTGAGGCCTAATGGTCTTTTATTGGTGGAGTATCCTGTGCTGAATCTATTCATAGCCATTCATGCTATTAAAGATGATTTTGCCACTTTCCTTGTGGCTGGCTCCTATGCCCATCTCAGGGACTGGGGCAGGCAGAGGCTCTGTAAGCAGTATGCCAGGCTGTTTGCAGTGCCATCTACTAGCTCAGAATCCCATCATCTCCTCCTAAATCCCCATCTACGATAGGCTCAGATCTTCTTTTGTGTCTGGGATAGTGCCAGGCACATTTTCACAAACTACCCTCCACCCGATGCATTTACCCTTCCCACCTCTGCTGGACAGAGGAGCTGCCAGACACAGCCAGATGACTTTTTTGGATCCATGATGGCAGGAAGAAACTTTGGAGCAGCCAGTAAAGGGCAGGCACCCTGAAAATAGCCCTGTCCTCAGTGCGAGGATGACATGCTAGGAGCGGGCATTAGGGAGTCGTGAGTGATGGTGCATGCTCTGGGACTCTGCTGTTACTAACGTGTGGCACTTTATTTTAAAAGCACCCTCTGCATGTGCACAGCGGCAGGCCACACCCCAGGGCATGTGTCCGCCCCTCCTCCACACCATATCCAAAATCCCATGGTGCATGTCAATGTCAGGGTACAGGAGGCAGAGGCAGCAAAGGTGGAAAACGGCAGTCCAGAGAGTCCAGAAGCCAGGACAAAGACTCTGAAGAGCTCATGCCTCTCATCTCTCCTGCAGGCCACAGCAAAGGGCATCCCTCTGCCTTGTATTAAATGTGCCAGAGGAGATGAGGCCACCTGAGAAGGAAGTGCCTGCAGCCCAGGGAGTCCTGCACGCCCTCAGGCCTACCTGGTAAAGTGAGGGGCTTCACCTGGAGTGCTCTGGAGGCTTTGAGGCCTCTACTGTCCCTCACCTCCACGATGAGATGGAAACTGCCAGGGAAACATTCCACATAAGAGAATCAAGCTTTGCTGGCACTATTTCAAAACAGGATGGGGAAAAATATGGAGTAGGAGGAGTGAGAGCAGAGCCTGTCCTTTTGGTGGTGACCCTCTCCGTAATGCCCCCACAGTCTCAGGGCCTGCAGGGCGACATTTCTCCCCCCATCTCCAAACCCACTGGCTGCTTCTCATTCTGCAGGGGCTATTCACCACCATCGTCCCACCAGGTCAGCGTCTGCTCAAGCGCCATGCTGCATGCTCTATCCCGGTGTTTCTCACAAGACCCCTGGAACGTGCATATCACTCCCATGGGAGGAAGCGAGGCTCCCACGGCTCACATGGCTAGCTCTTGTTCCCACACCTGGCGCAGAGCCAGGAGCCTCACCTCCTTCACCCCAAGGCCAACATGTTTTCATCCACAAAGCCTGGACTTTCCCCAAGGCCTGCTCACCCTACTTTATTGCTTTCCCCTCATCAGCCCCTTTGCTTGGATGGCTGCCTTTCCCAAACAAGACGGGGTTGGAGAAGTCTTGTATAGATCAACCTTGACATTAGTGACTCCATCTTAGAAAAAAAAATGCCATCTTACATTTCAAAAGGCATCAAGCCAGCAGGGTCCAGCTGTTCACCTAATCAATAGAGACAACACTCAACCAGATAAGGGCATAATCCTTTACTATCAGTCTTCACCAGAGGACTCAAGGGCCATCAGACGAGCAGGACTTCACCGGCTCGACACGGCCATCTTGACAGACCCTGTCTTGCTGTCACTTGTAATCAGCACCCAGCATCTGCCCAAATCAAAGACTCGTCCTTGCAAGACATTGATGACCATCTGGATGTGGCCAAGACACTCTCCTTGTCCTTGGAGAGTCAGACCTTAGACATCACTGTCTTTGGTCTGGTTTATTAATCTCTTTTTTCTATTCCCTTTTCTCATGATGTTAAATGTTACTTTGTTTGATGTAGAATGTTTAATTTATAACATTTATGTGCTGATGTATTATACTATGTATGGTTTACAATATTGACTGACCTGTGGAGTGGCTTGAGTCTGTGTGCTCTGACTACTGAGTCAGCAAGAAGTCTAAGCAGAGTTGCCTCCTTGGGAATTCCATGTAGCTCATGGCTTTTAGGATTGAAATAGCATCAGTAATGGCCGGGCGCAGTGGCTCACGCCTGTAATCCCAGCACTTTGGGAGGCTGAGGCGGGTGGATCACAAGGTCAGGAGATCGAGACCATCCTGGCTAACAAGGTGAAACCCAGTCTCTACTAAAAATACAAAAAATTAGCTGGGTGTGGTGGCGGGCCCCTGTAGTCCCAGTTACTCGGGATGCTGCGGTAGGAGAATGGTGTGAACCCAGGAGGCGGGAGCTTGCGGTGAGCAGAGATTGTGCCACTGCAGTCCAGCCTGGGCGACAGAGCCAGACTGTGTCTCAAAAAAAAAGAAATAGCATCAGTAAAAACCTGACCTTATGGAAAGACACAAATGTGCATGAACCTGGTTATGTTCGACCTTGCACTGCTCATGACACTCCTGTACTTGGGCACCCTTTCCCATACTGTCATTCTTGTTCTCTGGAGATCAAAAGAGACCTCCCAGACAATTGCCCATCCGTCTCTGGGGTTCACTACCATCTAAGCTTACAATGAGGCTGTAGACTGCTCAAGGGCCCCCACCCAGCTACCCTCAGGTTGCACTGTGACCTATTCCTTATGTTTTCCTTGACCCTCAGATCAACAGTACTTCAAGCAAGGTCAGTAGCAAGGCTACCTGCTGTGTCCTGCTTCGAAGTCCAGTTCTGTTGTGGAGAAGAGGGTGCCATTAGCAGACATTCTGAAGCTCTTTGAGGGAGAAATCAGGAAATACTAAAAAATGAGGGGAAAAATTTGGTGAGATCAGCCCACCTACCCACCCTTCCCCAGAAGATGTGTGTGCTCATTTCCTGTTTTATAATCTCAGCCCTTGGAACATTCTCAATGCATCAGGATACCGTTCAAATGAGCAGTTATCCAATTTAATCGCTCTTGAATCCAGAAACTTCTGGCGCTGTTGGTCTGAGCCCTGGTTGACCACACCCTGAAAACCTGGTGAGTGGATCCTGTTCTAACTACAGAAAGTATATAAAAGGCCCCTGTCCAGGCAGGCTCTGCTTCTGAGTCCAGTCTTCTTATCCCTATCACTGTGTTCTCACTTCTACTGGACAACTTCTGATTTTGATTCTATGCCTTCGCTTTAACCAACACTGTTTAAATACACCTACTACCCACTAGGTAATAGGACTATACCAAAGTGAGTAAGATCCGTCACTACCCTTAAAAACAACTTACAATATAGCAGGGTATAAAATGCACGAGCATCACTCATTGAAATTACTAAAGGAACAAGGGACAAAGGTGAACTGAGAATGAAACGTAGCAGGGCTTACAGTATAGCTCGGAAGCTGGTTTAGGGATACAGAAGAGCTGTTTTTATATCTAATCCCTGGCATGTGGCCATTGGGAAAGTCCTTCCTACATCTCTGGGTAGTTGAGAGTCTTTGTAGTCCTTGGCTCCCAGCCCAGCTCTCTTGATGACACCCTGCCCGGAACTCCTTGATCTGATAGGAAGAGACAGGTTTATGTGTACAGCCCACTGAGGGCCAGCCCATAGGAGAACTGTGCCTGTGCCACCCATGGCAGCTTATCAAGATTGCTCTGTTTCTCCCACATTGGAGTCAAGAAAACAGGGGAAGAGCCTGGATCAGAAGAGCTGGGTTCATGGTCCAAGTTCTTTTTTTTTTTTTTTTTTTTTTTTTTTTGTGAGACAGAGTCTGGCTCTGTCACCCAGCCTGCAGTGCAGTGGCGCTATCATGGGTTACTGTAGCCTCCGCCTCCCAGGCTCAAGCGATACTCCCATCTTATCCTCACGAGTAGCTGGGACTACAGGTGTGTGCCACCACACCTGGCTAATTTGTTTTGTATTTTTTGTAGAGACAGGGTTTCACCATGTTGCCCAGGCTGGTCTTGAACTCCTGAGCCCAAGTGATCCACCTGCCTCTGCCTCCCTGAGTGCTGGGATTATAGGCATGAGCCACTGCATCTGGCTTAAGCTTTGGTCCTCACCACAAGGTCTGGGACAAGTGCCTTTCTTGCCTATAACTTAGGGCTGATACAACCAATTGCTCCTTCATGTTATTGAGGATTAAATGAGAATGCATGCCGTAAAATATGACGGATCGCAGCAACGCTAGAGACTTACATGTTTATATTCATTTCTTCCAAAGGGCTTTAAGGTTAGAAGGTTTCATTATTTCCTGCTAGGATGAGGGATGTTCTATCCTCAAGGCCTTAGATCTCTGGATCAGATCATCAGTGGAGGTTTTGCAACCACAGCCACAGCCCCTGAAGTCTAGAATCAAAGGAAACACCTGCCAAGGTTTCCAACCCAGCGATTTGCTGTGTTATGAGTGCTGCTGAGCTTCCAGTGCAAGAAGCGAGTGTGCACAGAAGATAGATGAAAGGCCTCCTTTGAGGCCAATATAAGGTTTTCAAGCCATTTTTAAATGTTTCCTTTTGTTTATTATTTAATAATGTTTTTCTAGTTGTAATGAACATATTTTATGCAAAACCAAGGCCGACAGAAAAGTATAAAAAAGAAATGAAATATGCCACCTATTAAATCTCATTTTGGTGATTAGCCTTCTGTTCTTTCCTATGCAAACGTATACCCTTCATAAGTAGTTGGATGATGTTATCATCAAAATTATAATATCTGTTCCTTGCATTTGTATCTTGAGCATTTACCCCTATTCTTAAGTCTTATTTTACAGGCTGGTTAGTTAACGATGGCACAGCATCCTACTACAGGGGTTTCTTTTACTAAATCATTCTTGCTGATCATTTAGGTGTTTTCTGTTTCATTTTTAAGGGGAAATATTTGGGTGATGACACAGAGCACCCTTCTTCCAGCCCCACAAATTGTGCAAGTACCTTGGCAGTACTCCCAGATGTGGGGTTTAAATCCCAAGCTCCCCATTAATATGCCAGCTCATGGCCTGGCAGCAATTGCCTAGGCCTGCAGCTGCCCACACACAGAGTCATCCTGTGTCTTTGAGCAGAGGCTTCCCTACAGAGAAGCCTCGCATATCCATAAATCAGAGCCTGAAGCTACATATGATAGAACAACTGGGTTTTAGAGACTCGTGGGTTGGGGAGGAGATTTACTACATGTATCTGAATCAGGGCGTCCTTCCACATGTGTTTTGAAATGCTCCAGGAGCTGGGTCTCCAATTCTGGTTGGTCCCAAGCATGATAAGGTCTTGAGATACAGAGCAGACAGACAGGCCCTATGCTCCAAAATCTTATGGTCAACTGAGTGAACAAAGGTTTGGGGAGGTGCTCCAAAGGGGATACATACAGGATATGATGGGAACTCAGAAGGACTTTTAGACTCATCTGGAATACAAGAGTCACAAATTAGGGTAGTAAATTAAGTTTGGTAACTCTGGAGCCAGAATATCTGGATATGAATCCTGGTTCATCACTTTCTAGCCATGTGAGTGCCTACAAAGAGTAATAATACTAGGGCATGCCTTATGGGTTATCATATAAAGTGCTAGAACAACGCCTGGCGCATAGCAAGCCCTCAATAAATGTTAACTACTGCTGTCCCCTTGGAAGGGATCCATGAGGGAAAGGGCTTCATTTTATTCACTCCTATATCCTCAGTGACTAGCATATAATAGATGCTCAATAAATATTTTTCGATGTTAAATATTGGGGTTTTCTTCTTGTTCATTTCCCATCTAAGTAAGATCAACATTCCCACCTTACAGAATCTTAAAAAAGCAACAACAAAAAACCATCCTGCAAAACATTTTTTAAAAATCTATTTGAATGTGATAACGCTAGACTTGGCCATAAAATCTTCTCCAGTTGGGCCCACAGTCTCAACAACTCATGCAGAAAGGAAAGAAAGGAAAAAGAAAAACAGCAGCAGATAAAAAGGATGTGGAGAACTGCAGAACTAGGCACACGAGAATTTTCTTTTTAATTTCGATTAAGAGGGTGATTTCCTGGAATCTTGATATTTTTTTTCTTTTTAACACCAGGCTAATTTCTTTTTTCTCTGAACCTAAGAGCTGTCTTAATGGGAATAGCAGTTTTGTACTTAGAAAGGAGATAATATCCAAAGACTAAAAATATTGTGTCATGTGGCCATTTGCCAGCAACTCAGCAAGGCTCTCTGTAAAACCTGGCATTTTCTCCCCCTTTTTAAAGGCTTGTTTAATCAAAGCTGCTCCCTTGATATTCATTCTTGGAAAACAGAAATTAAATGGAATGAAAAGCAACTGCAGCCCCTCGCTGCCCCCGGTCCTGGCTAAGAAAAGTCCTGAGTAATCAGATCAATTCAGTTAACAAATGCTTGTCAGAAAAGCTCTCTAGTTTTCCTGCTGGGAATATTTCTTTACCACCACCCCAGGTTTCTCTATTTGTAGCCCCTTTGCAGCTAGGTTTGCTCTCAGACACAAAAGCTTTAGTTTGGAAGACAAGAAGCCCATCCTTCCTGTTCCATTCACCCTTGATCGTGCCTTGGTGTAGGGAGAAAGGAAGGTGGGAGGGAGCTGGCCCAGTTTCCAGAAATGTCAGGCTCCCTGGGGTAAGAGGGGAATGCCACCTCCAGGCTCACTTCCCCACTGCAGTCGGAGTCACAGGCCAATGATTCAACCTGTGCCACTTTGCAGCTATCAGTTGCTTTCAGGCCTACAGTAGAAACAAACAAGAATTCAGCCTCTTGTCTTTTATAGAATAGAGGAGTCAACTGCCAGGCCACCGCAGGCCGAGTTTCCAGAGGGAAAGACCCTTATTCCTCCCACATCCAGGGAGGGTCAATAGCTCCACAAGCCACTGAGTACATGGCCCCAAACCCACCCCACAGGGCCAGAGCACTCAGGACTGTGGCAAGTTACAAATATGTTGCCACATTTCTATATTTTTCAATGGAAGCTGAATATTTTGTAAAAGCCTCAATTCCTCTCTTTGTTTTCCCCTATTCCACCCTTGTCTCAGCTCAGAGGTGGGACATGGAAGAGGAAGGAGGGAAGAGTGCCTAGAAGAAAAAGACTACTGTTAAAAAACTACCCACTGCAAGCCCTTAATGTGGCTCCTGCTTGTGGTTCATTGTTCTGAGGATGAGCTAAGTGGGTTACAGGCAAGTACTTGAATGTTTTTAAGAAGAGACACAATGACAAATGCAAAACGCTGTTATTAATGTAATCCTTCACCGATAAAGCTGCAGATCCTATGCCCTCACACTCAGTCATTCTTTTTCCATAATCGGCCTTGGTTCTGTGCTGCAAGATTCAGGCTTTGCTAATCTTAATAACAATGATTCCCATCTATTTGAGAGTGTCTCTCTCACCATACAAACAGCCAGCAGTGACCACATATTTAGAGTGGGAATTGTCCAATACTATTGCTTTTTCCTTTTATGAGCATTTTAACAAGAACCTGGAGTAGAATGAGGAATGCTTTTTGCTAAGACTTCAGGTGGTGACTCCTGAGTTGGCAGGCAGACACCAGGGCAGCTGAATGAGTGGGGCAGGTGGGGGTGTACGGTGGGGACAGGGATGCTGTCACTCAGAAAAGAATGGGGTGGGAAACCAGTGGCAGAACTTGCCAGAACAGAGTAGAAGGGAGTTGGGTCAGGAGACCTGGGTTCTCACTGGAGTTACCTGGCCCCTCAGTTCCCTCCCTCATCCAGAAATAAAGTACTGCTCAATAGACCTGAAAGATCCCATCCAGCTAGGACCCTTGATAGGGCCAGGTTTGGCATATGATGACCACTTTATTCACAGGAAAACAAAAACTCACAACCGGCTGCCAC